TAAAACTCTTGATGGTTCTGTGGGTCTTCTAATATCTAAACTGATATTTACTTTATATTTTCTATTGGATTCAAATCAGGTGATTGACTGGGCCATTCTACAGCTTGATTTTCTTTCTCTGAAACCATTTGAGAGTTTCCTTGGCTGCATTTTGGATCATTGTCTTGCAGAAATCTGCAATTTTACGGTTTATTTCTGGCAGCTGGGGTGCTGAAAAAAAAACGCAAAATAATTTACTGTAAAATAACAGGCTGAGTTACAGACATTGACCAGAAATTTAAATTTTAGGAAATTTCTTTAATTTAATGTTCCTTATTTTATGCAAAATTTCTGTAATTCAACAGCCTTTATTCTACGTTTTTTCCAGCACCCCAGCTGCTGGAAATAACCACAAAATTACAGATTTTTTTAATTTATTTTTTTACAGTGTGGTTTGATCTTTATCATCCTGCTATTGTAGATGTCGCAATGAAGCAGATATTTTGCATTTACACTGACGAAGGGCAGAGGGTTGCTAAAAATTACAGAGATTTCTGAGCTGCTGTCTGAACTTTTACTGCCTTTCTACACATCCCTTTCTTCATTTGTTCAATACTTAGTTTCTGTGTCATTTCATTTTATTACACATAACTTCATTTGCAAACTAATTAGATTTGCTTTATGCTTTTCATATATGTATTTACGTAGTTGTTATCATCATCTGGTCAACAGCACGTTTAGAAATATGTTTTCAAGGAAAATGGGGACGTGTGATCAACACATATTTCCCCCACTAATCATATGTTTGTGTTTACTCATCATGTCAAAATCTTCAAGGGTTTTTGTCCCCCTTTGTTAAAAATAAATAGACATGACTGTGTATAGCGCTCCATACTGCTCACATTTCCCGAATTCTAAACAATTTAGGAAAAGAAAATATAAAGAGATTCATGAAAAGTCAGCTTTTCAAGCTTTTATTTGAACATCATTACAGGACAGTATCAAACATATCTGAACACTAACAGGAGATAACAACAGGACATAACATTCAGTCTCTTTTTGTATTTGTTGTGCAATATTCGATGTTAACATCTTTCCTCTAATCGTACAAATATGAGGATAACAGTCATTTACAAGCTAAATGCACTTTTAACTCCAAAATCGGCCATAAATATAGCGAAAGGTGGCAAACTTGCTCTTTTTAACAAGAGTATATAATAAGAACATGCAGATGCACCAGGATAATAACTTCAAGACACTTATTTCCATATCTTTTCGATACAATATTTACAGGTAAGTCAGGAATATCACCCCAGTAATGTAAGCAAAGAGGTTTCTGTAGCAAATGCGTCATATAGCTTATGGAAAACTGGCTTATAGTTAGTTGATTTAAAAAAGGTAAAGGAACTCAAAGATACTTAAGCAAGATTTCACTGTGTATAACAGTAAGTAAGTGCTGTATGCTACACCTCAGGTCCTGTAAGGCTTAAAAAGCACGCCATAATAAATGCTGAGGTATGTTCAGACTGTACTTTGGCACTGGCTATAAATTGATATTTAAACTTTTTTGGGCATGAGAGTAACAGTCCAGCCTTTATCCAACAGTCTTTGAGCCTGAATAGCAGCAAAATGCTGCCCCTGCAATAGCAGACAGTACTAAATGTTCAATAACAGCGATAGAGTCTTCACATAAAGTATTGTTTTTCCAACACAATCTCATTATGCAAGTTGTATAATCTCGCTGGTACATTTCCGTACTGCTTACATACACAAAACGATAGCAATCTAGCATCAAGTCTATTAAAATGAACATGCGGTTACACACAAAATCATCAGCTTGTTAAACCTTTTCACATGAGGATGGTTTCTCCTCCCTGCTTTAAGATCTGTAGACCCATAACCTGAATAAACAAACCGTTTTGCGCTTTATTTCAAGACTACAAGAGGAATATGTTCACCCGACTCCACACGTGGAGATGGAGGGGTTCTGGATAAGTGATTTCCTGAGATATGATGGAAATGTTAGACTAAGTGTGACCCCTGCAAGACAAAACATTTTTACATCCTTAACTAATACTGTTAGACAGTAGTATTTGTAATATTATTATGGTTACTTTTTAAGTACATCTATGCAGCCATTAAGTAGCTTTGTTCAAAAAATAACACCCGCCATGCATCAAACTGGAGTAAAAAGTGATTACGATGAACAATTACATGGATTTACTGGCCATTTGGGTCACTGCTGCGTTGCGTAAAGCCAGTAAATTTAGTGTATGATTGGATTATGAGAGGTAGTGGTTTATTTAGGAAATCTAGTTGACATGATTTCATAATGCTTGTTATTTTGTCGCATTGCAACTTTGGCAAACACTGTACAACAACAGTATGTGAATAATGATGTGTTAATATGTAAACTAAACATTACTTTATTATAAAATAATGATGAACTAAGGTGCGCGCTAATTATGAACTAACTTTAACTACAACATTAATCACATGAGTTCATGTGTGAATATAGGCCATATTAATTACTTGTTAGTTCACACTAACAATTAAGTGCTTAAATTAAGATTTAAGTTTAAGCTAAATGCAACCAACATGATCTCAAAAGCTGTTAATGTATAATTATGTCATGACTTTACTTGGAGGGCACATCACCATTAACTCAACTCATGAACTCCTGTGTTTAAACTGTTCATGATGTTTACAGAACCCTTTTTTTTTCTCATTCAGTATAAACACACTAGACAGATGTGCATAAGGAGTTCATGAGTAGTTAAGAATGGGTTAATGATGATGTGCCTCTTCATGTAAAGTCATGATATAATTATACTTTAACATATCATGAGTTCCTGATGGTTAAATTATGCATAAACTAATGTGATTATTAATACAATAATCAACAAACAATCAGGTACTAACAAGTTATTACAGTGGCTGTTATTCACACTTGAATTCATGTTGTAGTTAAAGATTTGCGCATAGTTTTTGATTGGTGCATACATTAACTCATCAATAGGTCATAATAAAGTCATGTTTAGTTTACATATTAACACATCATTATTCATGTACTGTCATTTTAAAGTGTTAACCGATTTTGTAATGATGTTTATTGAACGCAAGTTGAAGTCTGATTCGCCAACGTATTACTCTAAAACATCATTATCGAGCAAATTCATTCTTCTTCTGCTTTTACTGAGACTACATTTAATTGATCAAATCACATTAAAACAGATGTAAAATATTTGTTGAATTTAAAACAACTGTTTTGGTACTTTTTCTATGCATATTTGTTTTCAAACATAACTAATTCGTGTGATTCTTCAAAAATCATTCTAATGTGTTTTCTAATCGAGAATCATTTCTGATTAGATAAAAAATTGAATAAATTATCAGGTTTAAAAATAGTTGCACTGCTCCATTTTTATGGAAAACAGATTTTACGTTATCATTCGGAAGTATATAAAATTAATATATACATTTTTAAATAATCAAGGATATATTTAATTCACTATAAATAAATAAATAAATAAACTGATAGTGAATATATTTAAAATATTATATATGATTTTATACAGTTAGGCCCATAAATATTTGGACATCGACACAATTCTAACAATTTTGGCTCTATACACAATCGAATTGAAATTTAGCTTTAATTTGAGGGTATTTACATCCAAATCAGGTGAAAGCTGTAGGAATTACAACAGTTTGCATATGTGCCTCTCACTTGTTGAGGGTCCAAAACTAATTGGACAATTGGCTTCTAAGCTGTTCCATGTAGAGATGTGTGTTATTCCCTCATTATCCCAATTACAATGAGTGGATAACAGGTCCAGAGTTCATTTCAAGTGTGCTATTTGCATTTGGAATCTGTTACTGTCAACTCTCAAGATGAGATCCAAAGAGTTTTCACTATCAGTCAAGCAAGCCATCATTAGGCTGAAAAAAAACTAAACAAACCCATTAGAGACATAGCAAAAAAATTAGCCATGACCAAAACAACTGTTTGGACCCTTCTTAAAAAGAAAGAGCACACCAGTGAGCTCAAAAACACCAAAAGACTCGAAGACCATGGAAAACAACTGTGGTGGACAACCATAGAATTCTTTCCCTGGTGAAGAAAACACCATTCACAACAATTGACCAGATCAAGAACACTCTCCAAGAGGTTGGTGTATGTGTGTCAAAGTCAACATGTAGTCAAGAGAAGACTACGCCAGACTGAATACAGATGGTTCACCACAAGATGTAAACCAATGTTGGGCCTCAAAAACAGCAAGGCCAGATTAGAGTTTTAAAGAAGTCTTAACAGTTCGGGACAGATTAGTTCGAGATCAACTTGTACCAGAGTTATGGGATGAGAAAAGTATGGAGAAGGAAGGAACTGCTCATGATCCTAAGCAGTGAAGCATGGTGGTAGTAGTGACATGGCGTGGGCATGTATGGCTGTCAATAGAACTGGTTCTCTTACATTTATTGATGATGTGACTGCTGATAAAAGCAGCAGGATGAATTTTGAAGTGTTTCAGGCAATATTTTTTGCTCATATTAAGCCAAATGCTTCAGAACTCATTGCATGGCGCTTCACAGTGCAAATGGAAAATGACTCAAAGCATACTGCAAAAGCAACCAAATAGTGCAATGTTATGCCATGATAAAGGCAATCCCCTAATGTGAATCCTACTGAGCAAGCAATTCACTTGCTGAAGACAAAACTGAAGGGAAAATTGCCCAAGAACAAACAGGAACTGAAGACAATTTTAGTAGAATCCTGGTAGAGCACCAGCAGGAATAAACCCAGCATCTGATGATGTCAAAGTGTTCCAGACTTCAGGCTGTAATTGACAGCAAAGGATTTGCAACCAAGTAATAAAAAGTTTGATTTATGATTATTATTCTGTCCAATTACTTTTGCACCCTTAACAAGTTTTGATTTGGATGTAAATATCCCAAATTAAAGCTGACAGTCTGCAGTTAAAGGACATCTTGTTTGTTTCATTTCAAACCTCTTGTGTTAGTGTACAGAGCCAAAAATGCTAGAATTGTGTTGATGTCCAAATATTTATGGACCTAACTGTATCTATAAAACTGTTTTTATTTTGAACTTTCTATTGTACAAATCTCCTAAAAAAAGTATATTGTGTCAAACTTATGACATAAAATGTGAAAAAAAAAAATCTCTTTTGACAATAATAAGAACCGCTACCAATGCTTGATCATGATGGAGCAACAAATGATCACTTTAGAATGACTTCAGAAAGATCACGTGGCACTGAGGCGGTTGGGGTTTTGAAGATTCAGCTTCACCATAACAGAAATAAAATAACATTTTAAAATATATTCATAGAGAAAGTACTACTAGTATTTCCTGACGTTTTGTTTCATAATTACTAGAAATGTTTGTTTCAATGCTCACAATTAGAGCTGCACAATATATCATTTCAGCATCGCAATGCAATCATTCGCAATAGTCACATCGCGAGCATGCGTAATCTTGAGTCTAGATTATAATTGATCATTTCGTGAGTGTTTCTTGAGGCCTGTGACTTTGTGGGGGTTTTAAAAGCATTCAGACCTAAGAAATTGTACTGTACTGTTGTAACAAATTATTAACAATTAAATTATTTATAAAACAAAGACTATGCGGTATCCTTTTACATTTGATTATCCAGTTACTGTACACCAAAATACAGTTCGACTCATTGGATAACAATCAAACGCCATTTATTTTATAGGTATGTTTTTCTTTATCAAATTTACCTACGCTTGTAGACTATTTCTTATATTTAATCCACATTTACAGAATTATCCCAATCTAAAATGGTTAACTATTCCAAATAGTTATTTAACTCATGTAGTGGAATTCCATTCATATCGCAATATAAATCGCAGAATAAAAAAAATATTGCAATGTTTAATTTTGCCAAAGTTGTGCAGCCCTACTCGCAATAAACGTTTCAATAACAACTGAAATCATTTTGCTTGATTTTAAGAGCCAACAGCTTTTCCCCCTCTAGTTTATTCCTCAGTTTATGAATGATGGAGCTGTATGACAATAAGCTAATTTTGGACCCAGTTTTCCAAAACTGTACTACCCCTAACATACATCTTTGATATTTAAGAGAAGATACACTTTTAGGTTTCATCCGAGCCAATCACCAGTTTGGTCTAAGTCTAAAATCTTATACTATGCTTCAAGATGTAAAGCTGCTATTGTTTTATTTTCTCAGTAATGATCTCTGCTGCCGTCTTCAGTAATCTCAGCCCCATGCTTAATATTATAGTAACACATCACATTCCACAAACAGAGCACCAAGGTGGACCAGGAGAAAATGTCTTCCCTCTGAAACAGTACACAGTACTTTGAGGTAATGAGGAGTCCTTCAACCATCTCCACGAGACACCCGCCTCTCCCGTTTACAACCACATTGGCCCAAATTGTCTCGCCGGTGCAGAGCGGCAGACAACAGAGGCTGAATGAATGGAGAAATGCATCCTGGTAGAGTTTCTAGGAGCCCACGCCGACCCGTGGCTCCTTTCCCAAATGAGCTACAGTACATGGCTTCTTAGCTAATGTGTGTGTGTGTGTAATGATCCCCCTCAATGTTTTCGCCTCTGATTTTTTCTGCTGAATCCAAAGTTTTCAGTGTTGTTGTTTATATGGATCTCGCCAGCTGAAACGATACATCGCCTTTTTGTGTCCTCATGTGAAATACTTGCAGTTTGTTGAGTCTATGAAACAGTCAGCAGTGCACTTGAGGTGCCCATAGGATCTGTGGACAGGAAGAATTAGACAATTTTTATTTGGAGATTTTGCACAAAATTAGTTTTTTTTTATAGAATTTAGGTTTTTATAAAGTATTGACTAATAATTGGTATTGAAAGTAGTTAATGATCAGGGCCAATTTTATCCTGTCAATCAAAGAGTGAAAGAAAAGACCTTGAATTCATGCTTATTAAACAGGAGATAATCTTGTATTGATATTTTTGATATTATTATTATTATTATTATTATTATTATTATTATTATTATTAATCAAAGTGTTTGCTGGTTAAAGGAACACATTTTTGGAAAAAGGCTTATTTTACAAGTCAAAAACCATTCAGCCAATCACTTGGCCTGGCATTTTTGGTTTTGACCTAAAAAAAAAAACAGCAACTTTCATTTTTCATCAGTCTTAGTACACAATGTTAATATGCTAATAGTCTAATCCAATTAAATGATTTATGCTAAGCTAACGTAAGCATGCTATTGCCAGACCCAGAGATCGGCTGTATAGATTTAAAAATAGTAAAACTCAACTGTTTAACTCTCGGGGACTTGTAAAATAAGCCTATTTCCAGAAAAAAAAAAGTGGAGTGTTCCTTGCTAACTGTTGCTAGTTTTGTTGGCTTGTGTGGAGTGTTTGAATAATTTTAGTGCAACTACTGTAGCGTCAACTTATTTGTTAGAATACATAACTTTGTGAGTTTTCAATTATTGAGGGTTTAAGTCTGTACTTTTATATTCATCATAAAAATTTTTTCTTACCCAGGCAAAAAGGATCTGCATGTGTGAAAGCCAAAGTCCTTTCCATCACACTCTTCAGCCTCTTCGTAGCGATATCCATCCCCACAATATGCAAGTTTGCATTCTGAGAAGGAGAGGGAAATGTATGTGAAATGTACAGTTAAAACAAAAACACAGCTCTGGCTACTAGAATATATTCTAAATATGCATTCTTAATTTACCAACAACCACCTTAAAAACTAAAGCAGTAAAAAGATGATAATCAGTAAGTTGCTCTTCCACAAACTGAGGTAAACGCTTGTATTGTGCCGTACACACAAATACAAAACACCAGGCTTTTATATAAGAGATAAAACCATACATTAGTAGAATACATTTCAGCCATAATCTAATAGTGTGAAATACTTTTACTTGGTATGTTTTTAAGGCCGGCTTCTGTAAAATTTAAACTATTTGGGCACAAGAAATGATCAAGTTTGCTGCTTTTACAAAGATGAATTGTGTTTAATTATTTATAAAACGAAGACTATCCAGTATCCAGCTTTATTTTAGATATGATAAATTAATGTAATGTTAGATTCCACCGAAAACCTTAAAGTGCTGTTAGTTTCATTTTATCTTTATGCTGTTGTTCATAATCTTCGTAATTCATTCGCTATTTAATTTTTAATTAGGCCTACATTTTTAGGATATTTTACACAGTTGCACTTACCGACAAAAATAACCACTATTAATGTACAATTAATACTTATTTCCAAAAAGCTACTTAAGTCATATTGTGAAACTATATTCATATGGTAGAAATACAAAATATTGCAATGTCAGTTTCTTCCAATATTGTGCAGCCCTACCATACATACTAGAACAGTACTAGTAGCTCTTAACCTGTACTTTGTACAGCAATTAACATCACCCTTTTGGTCACACTTTTTTTTTTTTAAAGACTGTTTGCTGAATTTAGGTTACATTGCATCTACATGCCAACTAATTCTCATCAGATTAGACTGTTAGGTTGGGGTTAGGGTTAGTGTAAGTTGACATTTACTTGCAAAGTTTCTTATAGTCAGTTTCTTATAGTCAGTTAAATGTCTGTTGAAGGAGCAGTAGCAACATATTATTTGACTACAGTCTACTAATACTCAAATGGACCATCAAAATAAAGTGTTAGCTCATTTTTTTAAACAACAAACTGTCAATAATAGTAATTTTGTTGAATATCAGAGTTATATTTTACATCATGGTTTTTGGAGCAGAGATCAAGGTCATATAGTGCAATTCTAAAGCTTGAATAGTAGGCAAAACATCCACGAATAATGAACTCCTGACTGTTTGTAAAAAAATCAAACAGTTACATGAATCTAATAAAATGTGAATACTATAACTAAGAAACAAGAATCTTTCAACCATCAACTGTGCACTTTAATACTCATAATTCCAGGAACTGCTGTGATTTCTTTCTTGTTTTGGTATTAACACATTTTACCATTGAATTTATGAACAAATAGACACAGTGTGTTGATCAGCATAAAATAAATGACCTACTGTCCATTATTTCGTTTTTAACATGGCTGACAATAAAAATAAAATAAAGTTAAATGCAAAAAATAGAGATTAAACTGATTTAAATTGGATCATTGAATTAAATGAGAAGAAAGAGCCCACAAAGCGATATGAGAGATGTAAACCTAGCGCAGCTATGCATGAAATTGAATGCCTGGGATAACAGCCAGTCATACAGTTCAGAAAAATATTTGACCGCAGAATGCAGTGATCGACCAATAAGAGATGGGCAGCGTGTAATGAATTAGGAGAGCATATGTTTGGGTGTTATTCTCAGGTTCACTTGCTATACGGGAATACGATTATTCTTCCATTCCCATTTTAGAAAACACTCTTGCATTAAACTGCATTACAGCATGTTGTTGGGAATAAGCTGTCATCTGGAACACCGTCGTTTTCAACTTGATACTTACTGACACAGCCATCTGTGACCACCTTATTTCCGTCATCACACTCCTCTCCGTTTTCAACTTGCACAATGCTGTCTCCGCAGAATCCCTCCGGATCAGGATCGCTCTCCATCGACTGGAACGGTGTTAACTGCAATCACACAGACTTTTACAGTGCTTGCAGACTAAAATCACCACACACGTAAAACTATTAAGACAATCTGTGCTCGAATTGGGTGGTTGGCACATGTTTTAAAATGCATTGTAAATTGAGTACTTAAAATGTTTACGGTTTTACAACCGCATTAGAAATATTATATGGAAAATTTGAAATTTATTTTATTTATCAAAATTTATGCACAATCAATCTTACTTTTAGAAAAAAAAGTATTTATGTTACACACTGGCATGAATTAAATTAAATTAAATAACATTTAAGTTAAAGGAGTAGTCCACTACAATATCATATTTTAAACTTTAGTTGATGTGTAATGTGGCTGTTTGAACATAAACAACATCTCTAAATGTAATATGCTCAAAGTTCAATGCAAAGGGAGACATTGGCTTTTACAGGGTTTGCTTTGTGAAGCCTACAGTGAACGAAGTTTGAGGATTACAAAAAAAATAAATCCAAGTTATTGAGATCACAAATGCTTCAGGTTACGCACATTTACCACACGCACACAACCGGCACAGCAATTAGGCGTAGCCAGGTGCACAGTAATGTTATAGCAGTACTTGAAAGTGTTTTTATTTGCTAAAATTGATCTATTACAATGCATAGTTTCTAGCGTTACCTGTATGTTGTTGCGAGGACATAAACAAGGATGTAAACAACGGGAAATGCTGTTTGGCATCGTTAACAATTTAGCTACAAATTCTTACTTATCCGTCAAACCACTCTAAACACCCACAATCTTCAGCAGTGCTGCGATGTGTCTCTATGCAGACGCTTTCCCTGCATTCTACATCTCAAATAATAAACGCGCAAAAGATATGTGAGCCTTTCATATGTCTTACTGATGCTTATCCTGAATACATGTGAAAGACACTTGTCAGATGTTATTATAGAGAGCAGGCGTGAGGTTCAACTGTGTCCTCTTCATTTTCTGTCTGATTCAGACACAAACTGATAAGGCTAACAGTAACACCTACTCTGACTGACAGTATTTACAGAGCAGAGGCAAAGCATGTGCTTGTAATGGCGTGGCGCTTTCCCTGGTGATGTGGAGCCGATCCACAAGTCACAACACATTATTTTAGCTGATCAATCAGAGCCTCTTGAGGGTGGGCATTTTAAAAGAACTAAAAAGTATGGCCATCGTTTTTATTTTAGCTGAGTAGCTGTAAATAAAGAGTTCAGATGCAAAAACCTTTAAATGCCACGTGGAATTTTCTCCTAAAATTAGCTTTTCTGAGCCTCCTATGTTTATGTTCAAGTATTTTACTTTAGGCAATAAAAATTTGTCACTAAAAGTAACATTTCTGAGCCTACATACAAGAGTCTGAGAAAAAAAAGCTAATTTTAGAAGAAAGTATCAAAAAACATTTAGAGGTTTTGCATCTAGACTCTTTATATAATCAAACATATATGAAAAAATACTGTGGAAGCCCCAGTATAATAAATGGACTAAGCCGAAAAAGAAAATGAATGAATGAATCAATAAATTAACTTACTGCAAACAGATTTTTGTGATTAAATCTTTAAATTAATTTAAAATAATTAAAAATGTACAAATTGGATCTGATTTTACCTAAATATGCATTTATTTAAACGTTTGTTTGATTTTAACATACAACTGAAAAATGTTTGAATAAACTAGTAAATTTTTAGAACAAAATTAGTAAAGAAAAATTTATAAAAACAAAAATAATGACTTTATATAGCACCTCAATATATAAATACATTTGAGTACTATTGAACCCTTGAACTTGCCAGTGATAACCCTATTCACCATTGGTTGAGCTGCAAAAAACACTGATGAAAGCAAAACTTGTGGCTGTGTCATATGCCAACTACCCATATATAAAGTGTCTTTTGTTTACAGACGTGCACCTGAATTGGCATCCAGCCGCCAGTGTCTTTAAAGTAAAGTGACCTCTGATCTTTACGAAAGGCCAACGCATTTTCAGTCTGGACACGGTTCAGCTCCTGTTCATTATTCACCACAAATATCTGCAACACAGACGCAAAATCTTATCAAATGCCTCAACGTGGACTGTCAAAATTAATTACGGTTTCAAAAACAAATTCAAAAAGAATCAACACAGAAAAGCCCACATGCACCTATCTGGAAAAATCAGAAAATGTTAAAAAAAAGCTAGTTTACTGCTATAATTTTATAGCAATTACTGTATCAAAGAGGCATCGTAAACTGTGGGGTAGCACAGGGCTCAGTTCCTTGTGCCCTGCTTTTTACACTGCATTTACTGAAATTCTGTTATCTGACCTTAATGATTAGGCTCAGTTTGTAATATTGACTTACTGCAGGCACTCTGGGATAGATACTCCAGTGCAGGTGGTCCAAAGAGGGGTTGGCTGGGACATTACAGCTACAGCGACCCGGACTACCTTGTTGTCCTTTGTCTCCTTTTTGTCCGACCATATACAGTCCTGAAGGACAGATAAACAAAATAAATGTCACCACATGTGATTTCAAGTAATGGAATGAGTTTAAGAGCTACTAAACCTGGCCCTCATCTATCACGAAGAGAGAGCAATTGAGTTAATATGCACAGAAACCAAAACAAGACAGCAGCTGTCCTTTGAATAAAGTGATGACATAATGTTTGTAATTCTGCAAGAAGCTTGGCAGATCTGTCCGTCAGTTAAGGGCATGATGTCATGACTTCAGTCTCCTTCAGGGCTCCTGTTTCAATCTACATCTAAGATCAGGTTGCTTCTGAAGCTAAATAGACCAGTGGTGGGATTTCCTACAGTGATTTAAGATCCATGTGCTTCACCTTCTGTGAACGTCAATGGCTAATGCTGCAATAATACCATGTGATCCTAAACAAATGCAACAGATTTAAAGAAATATATAAAAAATGTGTATTAATCTTTGTTTTTTTTTTTGTAAATAATAATGGACATTAATCAAATCTAACTACAATTAAATAATTCTTATGGAATTATTTTTATTAATCTATGATGTATTTAATGTATAAAAAATAGAGCAAAGCCTTTTAATTACAAACAAATAAAAAAGGGCCAGGTCACAGAGGCAGCAGTCTCAGCAGGGAACCCTGAATTTCCATCTGTGACACTGCTGCCAGCTCCTTCAGGAGATTCCAAAGCAATGCCAGGCAAGCCGAGAGACATAGTCTCTCCAGCGTGTCTTGGGTCCTTTATAGGGTCTCCTCCTGGTGGGACAAGCCCAGAACACCTCTGCAGTTAGGCATCCAGGAGTCATCTGAACAGATGCCTTAAGCACCTCAACTGGTTTCTTTCGATGTGGAGGAGCAGTGTCTCTACTCTGAGTTCCTCCCGGGTGACAGAGCTACTTACCCTATCTTGGAGGGTGCGCCCTGGCACAGAGATTGTGTCTTTTCAGGCATTACATAAAGTTTATGACCATACACTCTCAGAAAAAAAGGTATACGTTGGTACAAATAATGTTCCTTGAGGAACAGTTTTGTACCTTTCTAAAAGTTATCTTATATGGTACAAAAAAGACCTCTTATGAAACTGTTTTGCACTTTTTATGGTACAACGGAAATGAAAGTACATAATTGTTCTCACAAAAAAGGTACATAAGTGTTAGACACCTTCTTTATTACAATATCTGTGAAAATAAATATTACTGGAAAGGCAAACTGATATATGAATGATTTCCATATTAAAACATGAATTATCATTTAAAAGCATGTTTAAAGAAACTCATAACCATTAATTATTAGGTTCTATAATACAATAATACAAAACAACTTGTAAAACAAATTTTCATGTGAAGCAACACACCCCTAAAACAGCGACCTGTTTACATGCCTCCAAAATTATACTTTTGAACATATTATAATAAAAAATCTGAACTGTGTTTTGACCTGAACTTAAACTGGCACACTCAGAACAACCATAATATTAATATTAAATCTTTAAAAAAATGGGTAATTAAATAAATGTTTGGTAAACATTTTTGACACTGTTAAGATACAAATTGTATTGTCACTGTAGCGGTAACTTCATGGATCAGATGTGTACCTTTGATGAAGATACATTTATTGTATCTGCAGGTTTTAAAAACCAAAGGTACATTCTGCTTTCCCATGATACAAATCATGTCCTTAAAGGTACAAACTGCAATGGTACAAATTTGTCTCTTTTATCTTGAGGTACACTTATGTTCCATAAAAAGGTACTGGCCCAGTGACAAGGGTTTGTACCTTCTTTGGTACAACTTTGTACCATTTTTTCTGAGAGTGTAGGAACATATATTGATTGTGATTGACTGAAACCTTTGCCTTTTGCTTTGCCGAACAGACCATTACATGGACCAAATTACTGCTGCTGCTGTACCAATCTATCCATCTCATATTCTATCAAAATACGGAGCACTCACACTTGTCAATTAAACCGGGAAACGCTCCTGGGCATGGTTTGGACAGCACAGTGTGAGTAAGCCCTAACTCTTACACATATGCATCTGAAAGTTTGACGTGTAGCAAACAGCCAATAACACAAAACATGAGATGGTCATCTTGAGTCATTTTTCACAAAGAAGTGTAATTCACTTCTCTTTTGAAGATTTAAAGATATCAATGTAAGGAATTGGATGATTTTAAATACCTTTACAAGGCAGAAATAAACACTTGATTGTTTGAGAAGACATCCTGGAGAAAATATTATCAAATCAATGCAAATGTAGGTTCATAAACAGCTAAACAACTGTCATGTTAAAAGCATTACATAAGCTGCAACCCAACACTGGTAAACACCCATACATTCTTGCATTCACACACATGCACTATGGTCAATTTAGTTGATTTAATTCACTTGTACCACATGTCTTTGGACTGCAAAAGGAAACCGGAGCACCCGGAGGAAACCCATGCAAACACGGGTCTCGAACCAGCAACCTTCTTGCTGTGAGGCGATCGTAATATATTTTTTATTTATATTATTAATATTAACTGACAATTCAAAACTATTTGAATCTGTAAAAAAATATAAATAATTATAACTCATATAAAATAAATCAATTATTTGCAATAATGTACAAATTTGACTAACAAATATTTTTAGTGTAAAAGGTATTAATTGGAGCAAAAAAGTTCCAGTACAGGGACTGGAAGTGGCTTTGTTTCATAATGTAACATTTCTCACAGCTGATTGGTAGAGTTTAGGTTTGTGATCGGTAACTCAGAATGATTCAGTTACTGTAGTATTGTGTAGTTATTTTACCATGCACAGCATGTTTGTTCAAATTAATGCATCTTTTATGAGACTTTTAAATACTGTTCTTAAAACTAACATTTTAAATACGAGTTATATGCAGAATGTCACAAATGTATTAGGACAGTCATTAAGAAATTCCTTCCACATAGGTCATACAAGACTTGAGTTTTGTTAGTACTTGTAGTTTATATATTGTATTTATTTTACCTGAGGCGGACACTCCAGGAGGGCCAGGATGACCAGGGGCCCCAGGAGGGCCTCCAGGTCCCATGGGTCCAATTGCACCAGTGTCACCTTTTGACCCCTAAACCAGAAATCAATAATAACAGTTGTTTATTTCCAAAGCATTTGCACTGTGTTCATGGTGCTGTTAAGTGTGTGAGGACGGACCACCTGCTTTCCTCTTTTTCCTGGGCGGCCAGTGGGTCCCCTGTTTCCCGAGCTTCCAGGTTCTCCTTTAGGGCCCATTTCACCCTGAGAAATTATTTTACATTGAAAACCAAAATTAGAGATTAATCTACAATTTAAACTTGGGTAAAGAATTAGCAGTGTGAAACATGCGTGTTGAATGTTTCTAATTTGAGAGTTTATTATCAATGTGAATGTGCAAATTTGTTAATGTTGTAAATTAACAAATAACAAATACTTAAACTACTGTAAGTAGTTTTTCTGAGAAATTGTAATTAGTTAATAGTTTTAAAAATGTGTGCTTTTTACTTTCCTTTGAGTACATTTTTAGTAGTATTTTTATTCCAATACTTTCCTTCAACCTGCAGTCACTATTTTAATATTTCCTGTCTATGGGGATTAGAAAAATCAGTCCTGTGATTCCTGTCCAATCAAATCACACATAGAAGGAAAATCGCATCATAATGAACTACCTCAAGACATGGGCGCTTTATAATTGCAGCAAACTGTTTGGAAGCATTAAAAGGGTCCAAGAAGATGTCCAAAATCTTTAAACGCAATGACCCAGAGACTGTTTAGATGCATGTCACTAATGAGAAGATTACAGATGTTTTCTGTATGATGACCAAAATGGCCTTAAACCTAGAAGGCACAAAACGTCAACATGACGTCACATTTGTTGCATTTTGTTTAGATATGAAAATCGGGTTGACGTCAGAACTCAAAATCAGGCCAACATCAATGTCCAACATCCAAACAAAAGCCAATCAAATATCAGAGTTGTGTTGTGTGGATGTTACCACTATGATGTCTGTTAGATGTTAGATTTAGGTTGCCATACCTGATCAATAAATGTCAGTATTAATACCAAGTAATAATACTTTTACCTAGGTATAATTTTTCAGTACTCTTTCCACCACTGCTCCTCTCACAGATCAATCATAACCTTTAGCCAATCAATTGTGAGCTCAGTGTTCAAGGAATCAGAACTCGGTGAAAGCGGTGTAATCATTGCATGCTCGCATTTGATTGGCTAAAGCAGGGGTGAGCAAACTCTGTCCTGGAGGGCCAGTGTCCTGCATAGTTTAGCTGAAACACTAATCAAACACACCTGAACATGCTAATCAGTGTCTTCAAGATCACTAGAAATCTATAAGCAGGTGTCTGTGATTAGAGTTGGTGCTAAACTGTGCAGGACTCCGGCCCTCCAGGACCGAGCTTGCCCATCCCTGGGCTAAAGGGCTACCTTTTACCATTTAACTGGTAAATTCTCTTAAACGTTTTGTATGCACACTTTTAAATCTGTAAATGGTGCGAATAGTCATTTTATGAATAAGTATTTTTAGGTAACACTTTATTTTAATGGTCAGTTTGAGTATTGGTAGACTGTCTGCTTAATATCTGTTGATAGTGCTCCTTCAAAAGACATTTAACTGACTATAAGAAACTTACATGTCACCTTACACTAACCCTAACCCCAACTTTAACCGTATCATGATAATCTAATGAGAATTATTTGGCATGTAGATGCAATGTAAATTAAATTCAACAGAGGGATCATCAAAATAAAATGTGAGCTATTTTTATATTGTGCAAATGAATTATTTTTGTAAATATTTATAAATATTTTGCGCACATGAATTTGGATTCATGAATGTGACTATGGCTATGCATGTGTAAATTGTGTTGTTTGCTTGAATTATTATTGAAACTAATCTAGCTTTATAGAAACATGGTGGAAGTTAACCCTGGGTCTGCTTTAGCCAGGCTTTAAAATGTGAATGTAAACGTTTAAAATGTGACATGTTATTCCATTAATATTTGAAAACAGAACACTGCATTAATACAAACAGTACTTACTGTCAGGGTGTGATTTATACATTGAAGATCACTTTTCGGTAATATTATTTAATGTAATACATGCTTCAGCAAATCAAATTAAAAGACATCTATTTTATTAATGCAATATATTTAATTTAATTTTTTTTGTGTGATACTTTGTGTATTCTGACCAACAATATCCTGTGATTAGCCATGTCAGAGGTTACTGTGGGTTAAACTGTACACTCTCAGAAATAAAGGTATGTGAGCGGTCACTGGGGTGATACCTTTTCAAAAGGTACAGATTTGTACCTAAAAGGTCCATATTAATACCTCAAGAGTACATATTAGTACCTAAAAAGTACAAAGTGTTCTAGTATATACTTTTAAGGTACCAATATATGTACCCTTTAAGTACAAACGTATACCTTTTGAGAGTGTACAAACAACACATCTAATTTTACTTTACTTTACTTTGGTTATATGTAGAAACAAACACATAGTTTACAAGTAAAGCGTTTTTGTGAATACTTACGCAACAATTATGCATTCATAGTGCTATAATCCATTATAGGGGTGGTCAAATGTATATTTAAATTATCTATAATTTATTTAGTAATAAGTATTTAAGATCAGAGCAAACTATATCTATTTAGAGGATTGACCCCCCACTCTTGTTGTTTTCATGTCCTTCAGGGGGAATCAAACATTAATTAGGGTGGGCAATCCCCCCTAAAGCCCCCTGTATTTTACATCCTGCTTGCTGTGCTGTAATTTGTTCAGTATAAAGTTAACCTCTTTAAAGCACATTTTGTTAATCTTGTCAATGACTAAAATGCAATAATATTTCCAGTACCTTTTGTCCCAGCATTCCAGGTAGACCCATTGATCCCTGAAAAGGTAGAACAAGCCATTTGTGTACTAAAACTAATTATATGTTAGACAACTTACAATTTGCATTAAAACACAACTTACTCGGTCACCTTTTAAGCCAATTTCACCTCTGAAACCTTGTGAACCCTAAAACAACAACATCAAGTAATATTGAATGTACACGATATAATAAACAATTCAATGATGAGCAACAGGTAAACAATCTAAAGAACGACAATATAATGGCTTCAGAATGGTAAACTTACTTTTTCCCCTTTAAATCCATGTAAGCCCTGCATCAATCATAAATCAACAGCATTCAGCACACATTTATGACAGCATTACAACTTTAATTCCAATTCACAAAGTAGAGACTGTTTAGACCTTGGGTCCCATTGGTCCTCTAGCCCCTGGCAATCCCATCAATCCCGGGTCACCTTTCTCCCCCTGTTAAAAATATACAGAGGTCAAACATCACTATGAGCTAAAGAACATTCTGTGATCGTGTCACAATATGGTGTCCTAATGTATAGAAAAAACTAAATACACAAGACATGACACTCGCATCTTTTTGAATGGGGAAAAGTGTAACGGTCAATATGGTGAATAAAGCCCCACCTACAAGTTCAGGAGCCAATCATCGATCACTTTATTGCAAATAAAGCCTGCTTTCTGGTAGAGGAGCCAATCATCGATTGGTATTTGCTTATTTCATGTGGCCGCCATTTTGAAGAACTAAAGCAAGGCTGCGGTGGGAAGAAACCCGGAAGTATAGGACCAGCACTGTAAACATTGCAGTAACATGCTTTGAACTACAAACCTCCAGCTGTTGCCGAGATTTCAAAATGCAGAAATGGTGTAAACATTACTTTAATATCATTCAGTAAGTGTAATTAAAACAATTAAAAACAATTTAGCATCAAACAACATCACAATCTCTTTAAGAGTAATAGGCTTAAGTGTCCTCCTAGGCTTCAGTTCATGGCACCAGTTAAACACCATGGGGGCGCTTTCTTGCTTCAGCCTATGTAACCCGGTGAGCGATACAGCACTGCAGTCCTCTGTAGCACACCCACGTGATGTCTGTAATAGTGTGCTCCCACTACTGAAGTTTTCAAACCTTCTATTTCCCGCTAACATTGAAGCGCCGCTGAGCCGGATGATTTGACTGATCTTTACGGCTGCTTCACGCTCCAGTCTTTGTGTATCTTTGTTTGCACTCAGTTTACCGCTCTTCACTGTGTGCAAACACAGATACACAGAGACTAGAACGTGAAGTAGCCGTAAAGATCAGTCGAGTCATCAAACAGATCGCTCGTTTGTGTTTGTACTCCGTAAACAGCGGAGGGTGAACTGATGACCTTCTCGGCCAATCACAAGCATTTCTGTAGAGCACGTGAACAATGGCAAATCAACGCTGTTTTAAGAAAGCCATCAATAGTGCCTTAAATGTTAGCAGGAAATTGACAGTTTTTCTTTTAATTCAGTATCATGGAAAGTCTAATATAGTGAAATAATCAGTTTATTAACTCGAGTTTCATAAAAGGCATCTAAAATGTGTGTTTGGGAAAGAAAATGCTAGCTAACTAGTGCAATTTCCCTTAACTTAGCTAAAAATGAGGTCAGATATCCCTTTTTATTTTGAACATTCATTCAGAACAGACCTTCGGGTCACTTTGAAGGCAGTGAAATTATAAATTTGTGTCACTTTATCTTTGCTGATAAGATATACAGCCGAGTACAAAACGTTCCTATGTAACTCCCAATGATACTTCTGGGTTTCTTCCCACCACAGCCTCGAGGTTGCTTTTTAAAAATGGTGGCCACGTGAAATCATTCTACAGACCGAGGATTCTCTGGGGGAGGGGTTTGGACCAGACATGAGTTTCTGCAGATTATGTGTGAATTGGATGTTTAGAAATTAAACTAAAGACACAGTTGTTGTTTAATTTTATTGGGGATGCCTAATATGAAATTCAATGGTACGCTTGGAACCAGTTTTGGAGAATTTGATGTTTCCCCATTCAGACAAAAGTGTTTCAAAGATGGCCGCCGAGTGAAATGGCTTGCCCTAAGTCAGGCATGTCCAAACTCCTAACTCCTGCAAAGTTTAGTTCCAACTCCAATCAGACACAGCTGGGCTAGCTAATCAAGCTCTTATAGGCTTTCTAGAAACATCCTTGCAGGTGTGTTGAGGCAAGTTGGAGCTAAAATCTGCAGGACACCGCAGAGAGGTCTGGATACAGACCAGGTGCAGTGCAATCTGAGTTGCATCCAATGCTTTTTAATACGCTCACCTAACCCCACCCCTAACCTGCCACAGTGACATCACTCACTCCATTGAGTGCATTGTGTCTGACATTGTATCGCTGGGTGATGCAATTTCAGCTTGCAATATAAAGGCTGCTTCCAGATACTATTGGGACACCAACCCTCCAGGATTGAGTTAGGACACCCCTGCCTTAAAGGGACTTTGTGTAGAGGGCTATAACAATTAAATGTTTGATTTACATTCAAAGTCCATACCTGATTATAATAAAGATATAAAGACAAATGCTCCCACTATTATTCAAATGTCTAGGGCCAGCAATATTTTTTTTTTTTTTTTAAAGAAACAATTTTTCTATTTAGTTAAAAAACTCAAGTACATTCATGTGTTCTTGTTTTAAATGCAAGCACAATACTTTAATAAATATGAATATTAAATGCTAAATATTAAATATGAAAATATATAATGGTTCAGGGTTATTACAGTAGACTCAAATAAAATTAAAATATTCCTTTAAAATGAACATTAACTATATGAAAACAATATTTTAACAATTATATAGCTTGTAGCAAAATCAAAATGTAAAGTTAGTAAATAAAAGAAACTATAAATGAAAAATGTTATTTGAGTACCATATTAGTATTTAAAAATGATTTCTCTCTGCATTATGAAGTAACTGCTGATTAAAAAATAAATTTTTACCATCACATGAATAATTAACACAAATTCTGCTTACTTTAGGCCCAGTTGGTCCTTGCCATCCGCTTGGTCCCTGACGTCCTGGAAGACCAGGAGGACCAGTGCGCCCCTGTAACACGTCAATTATTAAAATATTGTAACAGCAGTGAATGTCAAAGTTTGCCTAATATTCTTGATTAGGCTTATTTGCAAAGACACAACATTATGATGTATAATAATAAGTCACCAACAATATACTAAAATTTGGTAAATAAATGTGCTATTCTCAAATCTGGTAAACATTCAGATTAGCTGATGCTGACTGGACTAAATCAAAAATCCAGCCAAATTCTGAATCATTTTAAAGCTGGATGTTTGGAATGACAAAAACGGAACAATTCAATTGATATTTTAAATTAAGAAATTGAGTAAACATAAATAATAAAAAAATGGAGGTATATTTTAAATTATGATAATTTATTGGTATAGCTTGAACTTTTTCATAGTGTATCTAAATATCAGCTCTGCAGGCTTCCTCAAGCGTCAGAAGTTGTATACTGTAGGATAATAACAATTGCAGTGAGTGGCAAACAAATGGCAAACAAATTGAACCACCCAACCATCATGAGCAGAACTCAAGCATGACTTCGATGGTAAATATAGATTACATTAACAAATAACTGCTGCAAATCAGATGAATTCAGATTGGTCACCACTGAAAAGTTATGTTGAGTGTGTTAAAGTTCAGTTCTGCTCTTTTTCAGCAAATTCTTATCATAAGCATCTAAGTGCAGATGCAACATAAATGATTCATCTAGAGAACATATGTCAAACTCAAGGCTCATGGTATCATTTAATGTATGTGAGCATGTGATTCACAGAAAATACAAAAGAATAAAAAAATATATATGAATTCAATGCAAACTGGTTGACACAAATGATGTAGAACATGCAATGTGTTTGCAGCGAACACACAGATACAGCCTCAGTCGCATCTTTCTTGCAAGTTTGAGTTATTCAACTTTAGTGGAAAAGTTTTGTGAAAAACATTCCGCGGGTAAACTAGATCAAGTGATGTGGTGCTTTACATTTTGTGTACACACAGCATTATAATAAGTCCATGCTGCTTTATATCGTATGTTTTGCCTTGACGATACTTGCTTTTTGAGGTTCAGAGGATAATATTGTTTGATGACAGCCACTGAGACCGCTGGCACACATGATGAAAATTTAAAACCAATCTAAATAAATCAGAAACTGAAATTAGAATTGTTGACGACCAGTTTCTGCATTGGGAATCAATTAATTTAGGTGACAATAACTTTATGTATGAAGTACATTACTCATGGCATGAATGGTATTATTTAAATAGGCACAACCAATATCAGTTACATGTAACTGAGTTATGATATGGTCTTTTTTTTATTAGGTTTAATTCTTTTACAAATACTTCACTCTCATGTTGTTTTTAACGTTTTTAATTTATAGTTATTAATTTCTATTTTTTTGTAGTTTTTCGACAAATGTTTTTATTTAATCTTTATTACATATACCATGAATAATTAATAGCTTTGATTTAAGTTAACAACAAACACACTGATACAGTTGATCAGAAATTGTTATGCTCCACGTTAGTTTAATGTATACTGATTTTTCTCACCCTCCTCTTTCTGTTCTCACTTCACTCTTAGGTTACTTATTGGTTCAGTTTATTGCCCATTGACGGTACCAGTTCCACCAATCCCTGGACAAGCCATACGGATTTAAAGATCTGGTGGATCAGTGTGTGGTGTACACTAAGTCTCGGTGTACATTTGTGCTCCATGCATCTGTGTTTTGTCATGCTAAGTCTGTGATTTATTGCTTCAGTTTTTCTGATGTAATTCGAGTTTACTTGTTGAACTTTATTAGCTTTAAATAACTGCTTTGATGGTTGCTGTCTGATGCTAAACTGAGCAATATGATATCTTTGTTAGGTTTGCTTTAGTTTAGCTTGTTTTTGTTAGATTAGCTAGAGTGTTTTGCCATCTAGAGTTTTGTAGTTCAATTAGTCTAGTTTGAGTGTCGTGTGGACTGAAGATGTCAGGTTTTATTTTCATAATATATTTTTGACGCCTAGTTTAAACGTTAGATTCAGAGGATTGTTTTGTTTTGTCAATTTATTTGATTTGGCTTACATTCATTGTCTTTATTTATAAAGAATATTGTAAATGTTTATGACCTATAATTATAGGGACACAAAGTTAACATTAGGTCTACTGTAAAAGATCTGGGTGTTATAGTAGACAGCAACTTAACTTTTGAAAAGCATCTCCCATGTCACAAAAACCGCCTTCTTTCATCTTAGAAATATCGCTAAGTTACGAAGTTTGCTATCCATCTCAGATGCAGAAAAGATAGTTCATACTTTTATGACTTCTAGGCTGGATTACTGTAATGCTCTGTTTGCTGGCTGCCCAGCATCCTCTGTTAATAAACATTTCAACTAGTACAAATTGCAGCTGCCAGGGTTCTTACCAGGTCTAGAAAATATGATATCACCCCAATTTTATCCTCCTTACACTGGCTGCCAGTTAAGTTTTGTATTAATTATGAAATATTCCTTCTTACCTATAAATAATCTAGCTCCTGTTTATCTAACCAACCTTCTGTCTCACCACAACCCAACCTGCTCCTAAAGATCTTAAAACTCAGAGCTTCTGGTAGTACCAAGAATAGCAAAGTCTATTAAAGAAGGTTCAGCCTTCTCATTTATGACTCCTAAACTCTGGAATAGCCTTCCTGATAATTTCTAAGGCTCAGACACACTCTCTCAGTTCAAACCTAGATTAATGACCTATCATTTTAGTAATGAGAAATTCTGGGAGTTTTCCAGAAGACAGAACAATATGGGAGATGGGAGGGAAATGTGTCTGAAATAAGAGAGACTCCTGGCAAACACAGGAGTGTTGGCAGGTATGTTTTATTAGATTCACAGGTATGTAGATACTCATCCCGAGGCCCCTAGAGATTATGCAGCGCCATTGATGCAATCCAAGAGCTGTGGAGAAATGATGCCAAGGTATCTAAAATCTTGGACCAGGCCGTATCCAGAGCTGATGCTGTGGTGTCATGGAGGAATGGAGTGCATGAGATTGATTCCTGAAAGACCACAATGACAAATGAGTCCTCGCATTGATCCTGTGGGCCAGCTTGTACACCAGACAATGACCTACACACCTGCAGTTCTCCACCATGGACATGAATGCTTATCTCTTTATTATTAGCCCCTTTCAAACAGTGATACCAGATGCCGGTAAATTCTGACATCATTAACCAGAAATGACCTCTAAACGGCTGCGCTTGTGTTTGTAAACATTTGACTACATTACAAACTCTTCGGATGGATCAGTATTGAGTACAACTCCAATGAAAACAAAGAGAAACACTTTCGCATGTCGAGATCTTCATGATATGTGTGTGTGCTGGCGCTATGTACGCTCACGGGCACACGCAAAGCTTGAAGGTAAACAAACAACGGATTATCATAAACATTTTATCGATAATTATTTACACAGTTAGCATTAAGAAGGAACATAGAAACGTTATCTGACTAACATCTAGCAGCTAAAGGTGCCTGGAAAAATATTCAAAGGCTTTTATTCTCATAAACCGCGCGCACGTGAATGCGTCTGACTGTTCTAATTGGCTAAAGCAGGTGTCTCACGTCAGCACGTTCTAGACGTAAATTTCTGCTTCATCTTTGATCTGTCGTGCACATTACACATCTCACCTAAATGTTACAGTATCTCTTTTAAACATCGTAAATTTTAAACTGAATGCATGTGGCCAAAGTTAAAGAACAAAAATGTTCTTTGGAAATTGAATTATTACACTAATTTCAAGGCTGCGTGGCCTTTGTTCCTTTCCCAACACTTCCAGAATGTAATCTGCGCAACACTTAAAGATGATTGGCTGCTCAAGCACAGGACAAAAGGACAAGGTGAGGACAGCATGTCTTCTGAGTGCTCCGAGGGACAAAACGGCCATCAGTAGAGTGAGAGAGAAAAAACAAACCAAACTCCATCAGTCTCCTGGCTTTAATTAAATTATGTGCTAAGGGGCAGGAGCCGGGGATTGTGGGAGAGCGGATGATTTATTGGGCTGCCCCAGCACTAAGCTAAATTACTATGCAATGCTGCAAAGCTTCCTACGCCAGCATTCTCTGAGCCTGTCTGGAGTCAAACAATACACCAGCCCACACAGAATCCTGTGAAGGTTTAGTGGCTTCTCAGTTTACCAGACCCAGATGCCTTCCAGTAAACCACACAAAACCCACAACATGATTGAAGGACAGGAGCTATGGAGATGTTCCATTGTGGATTGACCTTAATGATGGTGATCACAAGAGTCCCCTGATGTTTAGCTCTGATAGAACATCATGCAGAATCATGTTACATCTGTATCAGTGTAAAGTTGCACGTACTGTGTGTCCCATTTGTGCATCTCTTTGTTTTTTTGTTTTTTTTTAATCCACTTATTGCAAAGCAGAGGACATTGAGTCTCACCTTTTGTCCAGGTCTTCCAATTTCACCCTGCAATCACAAAACAAAAAGAGAATGTCCTTTCATTAAATTACTCAATAAATAAAACTCTTCTTTTCTGATTTTCTGATTCTGATCTGTATTTGTGTTAAAGGCATAGGGCTCTATTTTAATGATATAGGCACAAAGTCTAAAGCACAGGGCGCAAAATCATTAGGGGCTTGTCCGAATCCCACTGTGGCATTTTAAGAACGGAAAAAATACAATCTGTGCTGTGATGAATGATCTAACAGGGTTGTAATTATTCTCTTAATGAGTTATTGGTATGTTTTGACCATAAACCAATCAGAGTCTCAACTCCCACTCCCTTTAACAGTCAGTTGTTTCGCACAATGGCGCATTTGATATTTACATTTACATTTTTTTGGACTTTGTAAGTGGAAAAATGAATGCTTCACTAGCGAGAGAAAAGTGAAACAGAGCATGTGCAACACAAGGATAAAGAATGAGCCTCCTTCAATTGGCCTTTACTTTCACTTTATCTTTTTCTCTTTCGTGGATGGCATGTTGTACACTCCACTAAAGACATCAATTAGCCTGCATATTTAATTTTGTTTGTTAAGCTAAAAATTTTGTTTCAAAACTATTTCTAAAATGAGTTCTAATTTTCAGCAAAAGATAATAATGAAGTGTGATCAAACAACTGAGTTATAAAACCTGACAGGTCTTCTTTTATACTCCACAGCAGAAATATGGTCATACAGGTTTGGAATGACATGAGTGTAAGTAAATAGTTTTCATTTTTAGGTGGACTTTAAATATATCACAAGGACTGCCAATTGACCTAAAGGAATCTTCAAGGTACAGCATTTGGAATGTTAATAAAAAAAAGAAGAAATCTAACAATCTCCACAAATGTATACCAACCAAAAGGTGCAGTCACAGTTATAATAAACGAAGGAAAAATGTATTTAGGGCAAAGAATAAACAATGGTTTAGATAAAAACTATAGCAACAAAACTTGCAATACTCAAGGGTAAATGTCACTTTTGGCATTTGTGACAATGTTATTTAAGACAAATAAATAAAACAATCTAACACACCTTAGTTTATAAAATAAGCAACAATAGCTTTCAAAGTAATGCAATTACAAAACAAGTCTCAAGGGATATCCTGTCATGACCTTAAAGTACATTTACAGTAATAGCTTTAAATATCAGATTACAGGAGACATCAAGGTTACAGTATGTGCATTAGATTGTACCAAGTAATAAAAGTAGTTAATGGGTTAAGGCTTGGTTTAGTGAAAGGTTCAGTGTTAGTTCCAGTAATTATAAAATATAGTTCTACCATGATATATAAGGGGTAATGTACACTCTCAAAAATAAAGGTACGCGAGCTGGCACTGGGGTGGAACCTTTTCAAAAGGTACAAAATTGTACTTTAAAGGTCCATATTGGTACCTCAAAACTATATATTAGTACCTACAAATTTTAAGAGAAACACTTTTGTTCTTTTTAAGTACTAATACCCTTTAGGTATTAATATGGACCTTTAAGGCACAAATTTGTACCTTTTAAAAAGGTACCACCCGAGTAACACCTCGTGTACCTTTATTTCTGAGAGTGTGGGCAGTTGTTCTAGCAGAATAAAGCCCAACAAGATTATTAGCTGCCCGTCATGACATCTAACCCATACCTGCCAGCACGACCATTTTTTTCTGAAGTCTCCCGTATTTCAGACCCATCACCCACCACTTTTCTGTTATTTCTGGCTAAACTCCCAAATTTTACCCCCCACAGTTTTCTTGGTACAGTCTGTAACACCCTTGGGTGGCCAACTTTGGTATAGTATTCAATCATAGTGGTTGCCCGAAACCTAATCCATAGTACATTTAGTAACACCACAGTATAGTTATTAACCTGCCCCGGTAATCAACAGTGTTATTCAGATGCACCTCACTCCCGAACAACCCCACTCCACCCCAAATGTTGGCAGGTATGATTTAGACTGTGAAAACAACTGCCTAGATGTACATTATTACGGTTATTACACAAAACAATAAACTATTTTAAACTCTTTTATTAAAAATAAATTCACAGAAACAAAATGGCTGTATGCAGCCTTCACTAATTACCGAAAGATAGAGCTGTGATGCGATGTGAAAGATAAGCATATACATATTGATATGAATGTATATAGTCAAAATGATTTGGAGTACCTGGGGGAGACATTAGTTTTTGCAATTAGTTTCAGAAGTTGTTATCTGATAATAGCTTATCTTAGAATGTACTGTAGCGATTGACCAAACAGAATCAAGTATTCCAGAGAGCCGTGTAATAATAATCATCATGTTATATCAGCCTAATTTCTATCACCGTTGTCTTGTGTTTTCATGCATATAAACATGAGGATGTGTCATTCAATACCTTATCTCCCTTTGGTCCCTTTGGTCCTGGCAGTCCAGCAGGACCCTGTAATAACATGAAAACAACTGTATAATGTTTCACCAAGACCTCTTCAAATGTCAGATAATATTACTATATAAAGCCAAAGCAACTATAAAAAATGTATTCCAACACTATAAAAATGTCTGTCACCAAACTGGCTTCCCCATTACCACCCTTTGGTTAAAACAATACGGCTAATTACTTTCTAAACTTGTGTTTGCAGCTAAGTGAACATAAGAGCGTTCAAAAGAACAACTATACAAAGTCAAAGCTGTTAGCAGCTGCACTATGACAACAGGATGGGTTTTTTTTATTCTCTTGGCTGACATCTCTGTAATATTCACTACATAATTAATAACATAAGACAGAGATCAAACTGGATTCACAGTTGACTGAACTTGAGGGGATGGGGTGAACCCTCTCTTGGGGTTTCGAGTGTCTGTCTGTGTGTCTCTCTCTCTCTCTCTGTCTCTCTCTCGGGGTTGTTTCTAAGAATGGTACGATGGAGCAGAGCCTGGCAATGGAAAAAAGTCTATTTCCATCTGGTCTAAATGTGGAGTGTTAATGGTCGCTGTGTCGTGAAAGACCAAACTGGTCACATCCGTGTCACTACAGAAAGACGTCTGGGGAACTCACACGCATCTCACATGCTGAGAAGGTTATGAAGGCTAATTACAGCGCTGTAACTGACCGTTGTGACAACACAGAGCCCTGCTTCCTTCAGCAACTATGCAAACTTCAATAAATTTTCATGTGACATGTTTTTACTTTAGATTTTAGTCTGGCAGGGATTGTTTACTAAAATATGAAAATATTGTTATCATCTACTCACCCTCTACTTATCACAAATCTATTTAAGTTTGTTTGTTTAGTTGAAGACAAAAGACGGTATTTTGAAAGATTTTGAAAACCAGTAGCCGTTGAATTCCATAGTATTCTGGATTCTTTAAAATATGGTCTTCGACAGAGGAAAGATATAAGAAAATAATTCTTTTGTGTGTAAACTATCCCATGAAGTTCCACTAAAAATGAACAAGTATTTTTCTGTTAACCACAAAGGTTCATATTTGGAACAATGTTAGTTACCAGAAAGTTGACAGTATCCAATGATGTTAATAGTGCTTTTTTAAACTATTATGGAAAACAAATGCTAACAAACTGCCTTTTTACCAACATTCATCATATACAGTTGAAGTCAGAATTATTTGCCCCGTTTGTTTACCCCCCACCCCCAATTTCTGTTTAACGGAGAGCACTTTTTTTTAACAAAATAGTTTTAATAACTCATTTCTAAATACTGATTTATTTTATCCTTGTCAGGATGACAGTAAATATTATTTTTATAGATATTTTTCAAGACACTTCTATACAGCCTAAAGTGACATTTAAAGGCCTAACTAGGGTAATTGCAGTAGGGTAACTAGGCAAGTTAGGGTAATTAGGCAAGTCATTGTATAACGATGGTTTGTTCTGTAGACTATCAAAAAAATATGGCTTAACTGGGTTAATAATTTTGACCTTAAAATGATGTTTAAAAATTTTTAAACTGCTTTTATTCTTACAGAAACAAAAAAAATAAAGCTTTCTCCAGAAAAAAATATTACCAGACATACTGTAAAAATTTCCTTGCTCTGTTCAACATTAAGAGAAACAAATTCAGAAGGGGGGCTAATAATTCTGACTTCAACTCTACCTTTGTTTACATTCAGAAGCAGATTAAAAACTCATAGAGGTCTGGTACTGGTGAAGGCTGAAATAATGTCAAAATCTTGAATTTTTAAAGAGAATCATCTCTATACACCTACAAAATAGTTATTAGATCTCTTGTGAAATTTTCCTAAGTGATGTTTAACAAAGCAAAGAAATTATTTCCAATATTTTCTATCATATTTTTATTCTGGAGGAGGTTTTATTTCTTTTAGTTTGACTGGAATAAAAATATGTATTATAAACATGAAAACTACTAAGGTTAATATTATTAGCCCCCTTAAAAATTATCGGCTACAGAACAAATGACTGCTGTTCAATGACTTACCTAATTAACCTGGTTAAGCTTTTAAATGACACTTTAAGCTCAATATTAGTATCTTGTGAATTACATAGTATAATAGTATGTACTGGCATCATGAAAAAGATAAAAATAAATAAGTTACTAAAACTATTAGGTTTAAAAATTTGGTGAAAAAAAACTAATCTGAGGTCTTTAAGTATAAATTATCAAATCATTTGTCCACCAGTTTAAGTAACTTGTTACAAAAATAATCAAAAATGTGTGTGATGTGCAGCATTGGGTGCACTTTAAAGAAACTTTAAAAACAAAAAAGTAATTAATTACTCATTACATTATTAAAATTGTATTTAAATTATATTTTAATTACTGTGTCTGAAAAGTAACTCAATAAGTTATTAAATTACTTGACTCAACAATACTTCAACTTCAAAAATTCAATAAATAAATGCACTATATATAAATCTCAATGCCACATACGCAATAGAAATTAAACACAACGACTTAAATCAAAGCCAGACAGGACAATTTAGCTTTATTAAATCAATATAACACTTTAAAAATGATAAACATTGTATGTATCAAAACAAAAATAATTTCACACATGCCAAATATTGACAAATTTCCTACTAATTTCATTGTTTCTCAAGCATGTCCATTCTACTTGATCAATTCATTACTCTGCTTCTCTTAATTGATTTGTCCAGCACTGTTGATTTGATCTAGAGTTAAACAAGTACATTATAAGTAGGGCTGGGCAATTTGGTCTAGAATTAACTGAACATTTTAACTCAATTACAGTTAGTGAACAATTATTTTTTTTAATATTATTTTATTGTCCTGATAGATCACTGATAAATTTAGTAAACATGCTCACAGATTACAAGTAAGAGATTTTTGAATGAAGGGTGCATTACTTGATTTTAAAACAATTAAAGGAAACACACACTATCTACTATCTATTATTATTTATTGAACGTTGAACAACCAAGTCACCTTTTTCTTTAAAAAAGTGAAAATAAATACCATGCACTTTTGAAAACAAAATAAATCAATTTCAATGTTTTTCATAGTAGAAAAAAAGTACATAGTACTTTTACATAGTAACAAGCAGTATCTCTTCCAAATAAAATAACTCTAGTATATCCTATAAATAATGTTTTAAACAGTGCATTTCTTGCATCTTCTGTCAATAATAATTTTGATGTAATTAATCATTTTATTGTAATGGAAAAAAATGGCGTCTCAAGGCATCTCTGATGCAGCTTCCAATACCCATCAATGTAGTGCAAAGTAAGGCTTATTTCCAGATTTTTGAGAGGTGGATATTCGACCATGCGAAGGCTGCGCCAGACCATACATGTGTGCTCAACATAGATGTCTTAACAGAGCGGGGTCAAGTGACTCCACTCATGGTAGGGACAGTAATTGAAAAAAATCAACATGGAAAAATTTGATCAATAATAGATTCTGAATGACGATTTCCATTACAATTTTGAGTCCTAACTATAATTTACTATAATTAAATTACCTGTAAATAAAAAGTAATCCCTTACTTTATTTTCTGACAGAAGGTAATCTATTTACAGTAACTAGTGACTTTGAAACAAACAGTGGTGATATGCTATTTCTATTATTTCATTGATAAACCTTTTGACATTGTAGATTAGGGGTGCTCAAACTCGGCCCTAGAGGGCCGGCTGCCTGCAAAGTTTAGTTCCAACCCAAATCAGATACATCTGGGCTTCCCTTTTTTAACCAAGCTCTTACTAGACTTTCTAGAAACATCTGTGCAAGTGTGTTGATGCAAGCTGAAGCTAAAATCAGTAGAACACCAGCCCTCCAAGACAAAGTTTGGGCAGACCGGCTGTAGACCATTACATTAAAACTCTTCTTGAAAATAGAGTATAAAAAGATCAGTGAACAGGGTGTCCACAGTGTCTTAAAAATCAATTGATAAATCAATTATGAGAAAATTAATGTCCTTAAAAGGTAGAATTGTAAAGTTTTTAAAAGGTCTTAAATTTAGTTCAAGCATTGTCCAAAGTTTTTGACTCCAACAAAGCATAAATAGATTTATTTTCCTGCTAATATTATTAACAGTTTGCTCAATCCACGTGTTTGGGCGAGGATGCGTCCGGCCAAGCTCCTCCGTCAGAGTGATGTCACGTAATTTGCGACAAACGCAGGAAGTTGATGTGACACTCACCACATAACGAGGTCTTAAAATATTCCGAAAAGGTCTTTAAAAAGTCTTAAAAAGGTATTGAAATTACCTTTAGGATTCCTGCATATACCCTGGTAAATATAAAGAGTTTTTAAAGAGAATCTTCTCTCTTATACACACTTTTTAAAACCATCTCTCCACATTAGCTTGTTTTAAATAAACAAATTAGCATCCAAACAGAAGCACAAATCACTATATCACTATCATCATCTAAAATAAAAAACGTTTATAAATATATTGTGCTTAAAATGCATACTAATAGATCTTACATCTGGTTTAATAGTTTAGGCCCGTAGTTTCTATAATCCTTCTATAACAGTTACATCACATCTGAAGCACATACCTGTGGGCCAGGAGGTCCTGCTGGTCCTGGGGGCCCAGGAGGCCCTGAAGAACATGTGTGGGTTGTAGGATTGTGCTTCTCTTCTGTGAATCCTTCATTTGCTGTAACACTAGTCTCAGTCTTTGTCTAAGACAAGACATAAAAAATTACATCTGATTGATTGATTGATAATGAAAGGAAAAGGGTGACGTAAATACCATAGATGGAGCAGGTTGAGGTGCTTTCAATGCAATCTGCAAGGAATCACATCATTACTGCACAGTAAGCTGACCTGACTATCCAGAAAATAAAACTGCTTGGTCATCATTTGAATGGTAAACTATTAAAGATTAAAGAGATAGTTCAAACCAAGATTTAAAATCTCTCAGCATTCTTGTTCCAAACATGTTTGAGTTTCTTTCTTCTGTTCTTCTTCAACACAAGAGAAGATGTATTGAAGAATGCTGGGAAAAAGCAGCTATTGACTTGTGCTCCGTCTATGGACGTCAATGGTTGCTTTTTATCCCCACAACACTTGTTTTGTGTTCAAAAGAAGAAAGAAATAATTTGAGGGTGAGTAAATTATAAATATCCTTCAAAAAGTTACAAAAATCCTTCAATATCCTTCAAACTTTAAAGATTTGAAATTGAAATTGAAAGGAACTGAAATACTACACTTTCAAACAAAATCAATCAGACAGATAAAAACAAAACAGCTTTGGCTACCATTCCATAGGTCCATAGATTATGAAATTGGTCTGAAATTGCACGTTTTTTAACAAGCGATTGATTTGTATCCCAAATCCTAGTGGTTCACAATCTGTGATCCGTGTACAAATAGTGGTACACATGCTTCCTTCTAGTGGTACGTGGAGGAATAGCTGAATAATTAAAGTAAAAAATGCACACACTTTTAACTCTTTAACGTGTAAGATACCACAGATGTGATCAGTACAGTGATTTGAATAGGCTAAACCTTTTATTTTTAATTTTCTAATGTTTGTTATGTATTCTATTGTTTTAAGCTAATTTCCTCCTCATATTTGTAACGGTTGTTGGGGCGTATCTCATATTTTTTTCTCCCAATGTTGACAGGTATAGTTTAATCACTTGCTTTTCTGACACAATTAGCCTACTCTAACGTGCAGTAAGCAGACCAATTTCTAATTTAATTATGTAAAATACAAGTTATGTTCATATTTCAAAGATATACAAATAAGTCATATATACATGCCCTATATATTTAAAAAATTATCAAAAGGAGGTTATAAATCAATATGATGACATATAGGTTATATTTATGAGGTTTAAGGAACTTTCCAGTTGTTGAGGAATCGGCTACTACATGAAAATACTTTACATTCAAGTACAGCAGTTTTCTTTTTACTTTTTAGAACAATGGGTTCTTTAATTAACTTTTAAAAGCACATTTTTACTTGGTAAAAAAATTGGTAAAAAAAAGTTTGGGAACCACTGCTCTAAGCCAATGATTTCAAAAATAGTTTCTATTAGTCTTGAACACCTTGATTAGTTGGATCAGGTGTGTTTATTAAGGTTGGAGCAAAACTGTGCAGAGCTGTGGCCCTCCATTAATCGAGTTTGAGACCTATGCTCTAAGGTCAGACAGTGGAACAACATCCAAACCAATAACACACATTTAGCAACATGAATAGACTGGAGTATCAAGTTGCAGAGCTGGTACAGATGTATCTGCATCCTGTAAGATCACTCGCGGGGATATTTTAAATACTCTTAGTGGGTTGTGGAAGTGTCCCCATGTTGCACCGCATATTTTAAAGTTCTAAACATTATTTTCAATGAGTGCCCCCTACACCGCCAGCACCATTTAGTGCCTGTCTGCAGCAAATAGAAAACAATGTAAAGATGTGGCATGCCATAGTGGTTACTGCAAATTTCTACCTGTCTCATAGCTGCCATAGTTGTAGTGCTTAGGGGTACAGGTGGGCAGCATGACACCTTTACAACCCAGCTCACTGCAGCAGGGGGTGTCAGAACCTTTTTGCCCTCAAACAAAGAACAAAAAAGCCCTCCGTTGGAAGTGAAACCTTGTCCAGTGTGTGAGATCTTCAAAATCTCTCTCTGCTACTTGACCCTTGAGCTTGATTTATACCTCTGCGTCGATTAATCTGTGCAACCCACAGTGCATGCCTTGCGCGCTGCTGTGCTTCCGTGCACTGCTTGTGTTGCTCTGCAATAGCACTTCCAAAACATTAGCTGGCAATGAGGTTTTGTTCCTCTCTGTCGAGTTTCTTAGCTGGTATTTAGTTTTTTTTCTAAAGGCTACCTAAATGCTAAGTTTCTCAAACTTGCCCATTTTGCGGTGGGAACCAGCAAACGTGCAACAACTTAGGTGAACACAAAACAAAACTTTCCATCTGGAGCTCCTTCACGGGACTCGACACTTGTAAACACACGCTCCAATGGGCTCGTGTGGCTCTCAGTCCCACCTACACTCGTCAGCGATACCAAGCCGACCAATCACAGAGCTTGCGCTACACGTCGTTGCGACATGTAGTTACATTTTTTGAGAGGTGTGCATCAGTGTGCACGAGAGCTACGTGACAACGTGAAGGTGTGCCATGCGCTTGAAGCAGAAGCATAAAACAGCCTTTAGGTCTATTAATGTTGCAAACTTGGAGCTGTTAAGTAGTATGCTGATCCACTGTCTGTCCTCTGTGGATGTGAGATATGAATCAATCACTCACGAAGAAGGTGAAATACCAGAGCACGCACATCTATTGTATAAACTCCGAGGACCAATGGTTGCTCAAAGGTATATGCCAAAACAAACTCTACCAAAGGTTTTGGTGAGGTGTTTCGAATTGCTTAAACAAACTCAAAACACACCATTCTGGCCCAAATTTGTCAAAAATTAAAAAAAACTTTATGCTGTTATTCGATTTTGTTGGAAGTACCAACCCTCCAGCTCTACCACAAACACCTGTCTAGACTTGCTAAATGATTTATGAGAACCTTTTATTTTAGCAAAAGCTGTTAAAAGCAATTAGTTACTTGTCTTAAAATTTGAAATTGTTGACCTTTATTTTTTTGATTTTTATTATGCACTCACCGGCAACTTTATTAGGTACACCTTACTAGTACCAGGTTGGACCACATTTTGCCTTCAGAAGTGCCTTAATCCTTCAAGGCATAGATTCAACAAGGTACTTGAAATATTCCTCAGTTGCTGCAGATTTCTCTGCTGCACATCAATGACGGGAGTCTCTCGTTTCACCACATCCCGAAAGTGTACTACTGAACTGATATCTGGTGACTGTGGAGGCCATTTGAGTACAGTGAATTCATTGTCATGTTCAAGAAACCAGTCTGAGATTATTCAAATCTTATGACACTCCCGCTGGTCATCAGAAGATGGATACACTGTGGTCATAAAGGGATGGACATGGCCAGCAACAATACCCAGGTAGGCTGTGGCATTGACACGATGCTCAATTGGTACTAATTGGGCCAAAGTGAGCCAAGAAATTATCCCCACACCATTACACCCCCACCTGCCACTCACTGGATATTTTCTCTTTTTTGGATCATTCTCTGTAAACCCTAGAGATGGTGGAGCGTGAAAATCCTATTAGATCAGCAGGTTCTGAAATAAGATCAGTCCATTTGGCACCAACAACCATGTCACGTTCAAAGTCACTTAAATCACCTTTCCTCTCCATTCTGATGCTCCATGACTGTTTGAACTGCAGCAGACCATGTCAACATGCCTAAATGCATTAAGTTGCATGCCATGTGATTGGCTAATAAGAAATTTGCATTAATGCAGTTGGACAGGTGTACCTAATAAAGTGCCTGGTGAGTGTGGCTCATTTACATCATTTTAAGCCAGGGTTTACTAATAATTTTTTTAAGTCAACTAGAGACCAAAAGTAACATTTACTGACATTTAAGTAAAGTCAACTAATCACTTACTGCAATGAGCAATGCTAGTCCAAAAACACTGTATTTGCAGTTTCAGGTGTACACACATAATTCGTTTGACTTTTATTTACATTTATTGATGACAATGATTAATGACAATGTAAACAGCAATTTCCGTTGCTTTACTCTGAAATGAGTGAAGTAAACAACCTGTAACCTACACATCAGATGCAGGATCTTGATCAGTGGTGGTGTATCAAGACTCACCAGAGACCCCTGCCTCCACAGTGAAGGGGGTGGGGGAAAGAGAGGGGGTGGAGGTGGACTCAGTAAACAGCAGGGGTTGAATTTCTTCCTGGTTTCCAACAACTGATGATCTAGATGAGGGGAAATGAGGTTCATGAAAAGCATGTCAACAAACATATGGTTGCACTCCACTGTTTTAGGAAATAAATAACAGACTGAAACACGTGAGAACTGAAAAATACTTTAGTGAATAAGAGCGTTATGAAAAGTCCTCCATCCGATCGTCTAAAATATACAGTTCATAAATATTTGGACATCGACACAATTCTAACATTTTTGGCTCTGAACACCAACATAATCCATTTAAAATTAAATGACCAAGATGTGCTTTAACTGCAGACTGTCAGCTTTAATTTGAGGGTGTTTACATCTAAATCAGATGAAGACTGTAGGAATTACAACAGTTTGCAAATGTGCCTCCCACTTGTTAAGGGACCAAAAGTAATTGGACACAATAATAATCATAAATCAAACTTTCAATTTTTAATATTCGGTGGCAAGTCCTTTGCTGTCAATTACAGCCTGAAGTCTGGAATGCTTAAACATCAGATGCTGGGCTTCATTGCTGTTGGTGCTCTGCCAGACCTCTACTAAAACTGGCTCCAGTTCCTGCTTGTTCTTGGGGCATTTTCCCTTTAGTTTTGTCTTCAGCAAGTGAATTGCAACCTCAATCGGATTCAGCTCAGGTGATTGACTTGGCCATTGCATAAAACTCCACTTCTTTCCCTTCAAAAACTCTGTGGTTGCTTTTACAGTATGCTTTGGGTCAGTCTCCATCAGCACCGTGAAAGAATTTGGATTAATATGAGGTCACTGGTGCATTCTTTCTTTTTAAGAATGTGCCAGTTGTTTTGGCCATAGCTAATGTTTTTGCTATGTCTCTGATGGGCTTGTTTTGTTTTTCAGCCTAATGATGGCTTGCTTGACTGAGTGAAAGCTCTTTGGATCTCATATTGAGAGTAAACAGCAACAGATTCCAAATGCAAATTGCACACTTGAAATGAACTCTGGACCTGATATCTGCTCATTGCAATTGGGATAATGAGGGAATAACACACATCTGGCCATAAAACAGCTTAGGAGTCAATTGTCCAATTCGTTTTGAACACCTTTACAAGTGAGAGGCACATGTCACAAAAACTGCCTTCTTTCATCTGAGAAATATCGCTACATTACGTAATATGCTATCCATCTCAGATGCAGAAAAGCTAGTCCATGCTTTTATGACTTCGAGACTGGATTACTGTAATGCTCTATTTGCTGGCTGCCCAGCATCCTCTATTAACAGACTTCAATTAGTACAAAATGCAGCAGCCAGAGTTCTGACCAGGTCTAGAAAATATGATCATATAACCCCAATTTTATCCTCCTTACACTGGCTGCCTGTTAAGTTTCGTATTGAATTTAAAATATTACTTCTCACCTATAAAGCTCTAAATAATCTAGCTCCTGTTTATCTAACCAACCTTCTGTCTCGCTACGAACCAACTCGCTCTTTAAGATCTCAAAATTCAGGGCTTCTGGTAGTACCTAGAATTGCAAAATCAAGTAAAGGAGGTCGAGCCTTCTCTTTTATGGCTCCTACACTCTGGAATAGCCTTCCTGATAACGTCCGAGGCTCAGACACACTCTCCCAGTTCAAAACTAGATTAAACACTCAATGCATCACCTAGCGGGTTCCACACTGGCTTCTGCATCTTGCTTATATACACTATGAACAGCAGCTACGCTAATTATTCTCTTTATTCTCTATTTTCACCTGGGGATACTCATCCCGAGGTCCTCAGATTAGGCGGAGTCACTGATTGGATCCAAGACCAGCGACGTGATGATCCCAAGGATTCCATATCCGGGACCAGGCCATATCCTGAGCTTCTGCTGCGCTGATGGTCGTGGGGAGTGGAGAACATGAGTCTGATTCCAGCGACGCTCCAGGGACAGACGAGTCTTCATTGAGGCCATCTTCCAGCATAAACCACGGCGAATGAAGTTCTGCACAATACTTTTGGCCAGCGGAGAAATTAAAATGGTCGTGCCCAACTGAGTCTGGTTCTCTCAAGGTTTTTTTTCTTCACTCCCATCAGGTGAAGTTTTTTTCCCTCTCCGCTGCTGCCACTGCCTCGCATGGTTCAGGATTGGTAGAGCTACGCATCGATGAATTTGCTCTTCAGTGTTTGAACTCTCAGTAATGATTAAATCACACTGAACTGAGCTAAACTGAACTGAACTTAAACACTAAAACCTGAACCACACTGTTCCAGTTACTGAACCACACTGTTCCAGTTACTATGACCATTTATGTGAAGCTGCTTTGACACAATCTACATTGTAAAAGCGCTATACAAATAAAGCTGAATTGAATTGAATTGAACATATGCAAACTGTTGTAATTTCTGCAGTGTTCACCTGACTTGGATGTAAATACCCTCAAAATAAAGCTGACAGTTAAAGCTCATCTTGTTCGTAACATTTCTAAACCATTATGGTGGTGTAAAGTCCAAAATGTTAGAATTGTGTCCATGTCCAATTATCTATGGACCTAACTGTAATGTGATGAAGATTCTCTCTTTAAAATCTGACAACCACGATTTGTTGACATGTTGATAAGCATACTGTTTGTATTTACATTTGCTTCTTTTTAAATATTCAGCTGTAAAAATGTACACCTAAAAATTAAGTTTGTTGTTTGTTTAAACTACTTACTTAAAACGAGCTGAAATAACATAAGAGGTTTTAGGGCACAACTTAGGGTGCTTTCTCATCTAGACTTTTGTTTCGGAACCGGTCTAAACAAACTCTGGAGTGGATCGATTGTAGTAAGAAAGCGATATGATCCGAGCTCGACTATATCACAATGTTTTATGGATATGTAATAGTCATACAGCTGTATGAAGAGAGGATTGTGAGTAGGGTGGGAAGTAATTCCTGACATCCCAAGTCTCCTGGAAGTTCCGGGAGTCTCCCGCAAATGCAGAGACTTCTGGGCGCCTGCAAATGAGTGATAATTTCCGGTAATCGCGCGTCTGCCTCTCGGCCCTCTAATACGTTGCGCACCCTTCTCACCCCCCATCCCACTGCATCCCTCCTCACTTTTCGGACACGTGACGCATACCCTGTCAAACACCACTAAACCACTCCCCTGACAGCTGAGCGGGACTCTGCAAAATAAACCATGATACTCTGACCAATGTGAGGAGAGTTTTTTTTACACGTGACTTGTTTTAGCTGTTTTGGTCCGTTTAGAAACTTTGCCGTGTGAAAGCGAACAGCACCAAGAACAAAGAGCAACAATGTAGTTCCTGTTTAGGAACAAATGAATTGATTCACAGGTGTGAAAGCACCCTTAATTGTTTTATGTTCGATTACATAAAAGCTAATAAGTTAACTTAATTCATACTTTAAAAGTGAAGCTCTGGAAGAAAATTAGGAGACCCCTTCAAAGTTATTATTGGCTCTTTGGATTTACCATTTTATCCATATACTTTAAATTTACTTTGGATTTATTGAAGGAATGTGTTTTGTGTAAAGTGAACAATCAGAATTTCAAAATAAGAATGCTAATTAGAGCATTTCTTTGCAGAACATTATCAATATTTAAATACATGTGTAAAATATGCATAAGAATATCCCCTAATATTTAAGTTTTTAAAAAAAAAATATTCTGACACATTTTCTGCAAATAAATTCTCTAAATAACATTCTTATTTAATGTTTTTAAGCATTTTATCAGAAGTTTATAAAATAAAAACTTATTTTTGTGTTGATGTAATAGAGTAAAACCCCACGTCTGGTGATGTTTAAGCATTCCAGACTTTAGGCTGTAATTGACTGCAAAGGATTAGCAAACAAGTATTAAAAAGTGAAAGTTTGATTTATGATAATTATTCTGCCCAATTACTTTTGGTCCCTTAACAAGTGGGAGGCACATTTGCTAGTTGTAATTGCACTGTTCACCTGATTTGGATGTAAATACCCCTTAAATTAAAGCTGACAGTGTGCAGTCAAAACACATCTTGTTCGTTTCACTGCAAATCCATTGTGGTGGTGTATAGAGACAAAAATGTTAGAATTGTGTCAACATCCAAATATTTATGGACCTAACTGTATTTTGGAAAATGTGATGAGGAAGATTCTCTCTTAAAAATCTGACAACTACGATTTGCTGATATATTGATAAGGATACCGTCTGTATTTTCATTCACTTCTTTTTAAATATTTAGCTGTAAAAATGGACACTCAAAAGTTATGTTTGCTGTTTGTTTAAACTAGTTATTTGAAATAAGATGAAATAACACAAGTCGTGAGTTTTTTTTAGGGCACAACTTAATTGTTTTATGTTTGATTAACGTAAAAACTAACGAATTAACTTAATTCCTTCATGTTGCCCCAATACAAATTGCTTATGTGGCATTTTGACTGTGTTTTTTTAACTTAGATTTTTTTGACGTATTCAATAAAGTTCATACTTTAAAAGTGAAGCTCTGGAAGAAAATTAGGAGACCCCTTCAAAGTTATTTTTGGCTTTTGGATTTATCAATTTATCCATATACTTTAGATTTAGAGTACATTTGTGTACAATCAATCTTCACAATTTCAAAATAAAAATGTTAATTGGAGCATTTATTTGCAGAACGTTTTGAATACATAAATGTATGTGTAAAAAATGTCCCCTTAATATTTAAGTTTTGAAAAAAAGTATTTTACCCTGACACATTTTCTGCAAATAAATGCTCTAAATGACATTCGTATTTGATTTTTTTAAGCATCTTAGTTATAAAATAAAAACTTTTTTTTTTTTGGTGTTGAAGTAATAAAGTGACCATATGCACACAATAAAACTAATCAGTTCATCAACACACATCAATAATAATAGTTCAGAAATATGCTAACTTTGCAAAAAACAAGCAGCCACTTCCCTAATTAAACCTTGCACTGCAGTACTGGCCGACGAAACTGAAACACAGCCATTTTGCCATTAGAGATAACAACCAGAGATAATTCATTGATGCTTGTGGGGAAATTTATTGCAAAATTTGTGTCATGTTTTTAATTCACTCCCATCCAGACTCCAAATTTAATTTAAACTCAAGCAAATTCTGCAATAAAAAAAGAAAGTTTGCACAAAATACTTTATTTAAAAGACAACAGCAGTCCTCAAGTTAAAAGTACAAATATTCTGCCCCTGCATAAAACACAAAGACATCCTCAAATATTATTTAAAGCTTAAAAACTTCCTTAAACATATATTATTGTGTTTATTATATTTATATAAATATAATTATTAGTGTACATGTAATCTCTTATGGCTACACTCTCAAAAATGTGTTAGCTGTTTGTTCAAACTACTTATTAAAATGAGTTGAGCGTCACATTTCTTAAAGCTTTGTGGGGACAACTTAATTGTTTCATGTTCAATCCACTTACATTTAACTTAATTCCTTCAAGTTGTCCCTACACAAATCAACTGTATGGCAGCCAACATTATAACAGATGCAAACAAACTCTGCACAGTCTCAGAAATAAAACACATAAACAATTTAAAAATAAATAAATAAGCATGTGCAAAATATAGTGATGTCTAACCTGTTGGAAAAGGGAATAAGTCATCCACGTATGAGAAAGACAACACATAGCAGAGAAGTTGAAAACATAGTCCAAATGTGAAGAGAATCATGCTGCCGGCGTGCGCTCTACCTCCAATAGCACCCAATACTGATATGAAGCAGTCCAGCCCTCCTCTCTCTCTCTCTCTCTCTCTCTCTCTCACACACACACACACACACACACAAACAAACACACACACACACACACACACACACACACACACACACACACACACACACTAGACCCACGCCTTTAGAAGCGAATGCCAGCCAATGTCTGTTACACCTCTCCTCGCGTATTGGCCCTGAGCTAAATATACAGGAGGCAGTCGGTCAGCTGCCCTCTGTAGCCAATATTAGCCTGTTACTACTGCCAGCACTGCCTTTGTTTCCCCTTCCCAAAATGGACAGAGAAAACAAAACAGTGCGAATAGAAATGACATTGAAGTGACTGTGTTTTTTTTGTGACTACTGCTATCCATTTAAGGCATCCAATTAGCTTCAGAGAAGCTACACATTAATGTTTATTCATCAGTGCAATAAATATTGGTGCGCATGCATTCAGTGACAGAATTAGCCTAGTGCGCTGTAGTGGAATATCACAGATGCTTTCCAGAACACCCCTCGTTTATCTCGCCCTCCCTCTTAGTGTTTTCTGCAGGACGTATCGACCACCACTGAACACAATTTATTGGTGCCTTTACTTTCCTGGAGAATTAATGATAGGGCAATTATGAAGAGGGTCGTTTAAAGGCCTGATGGGAGATGCAGTCTGTGAATGCCTCCAATCAGACAGAGTGCAGAACGAAGAGAGAGACAGAGAGGAGTTTTACTGAGGAATCACATTTTCATTTTAAAACACTTTTACAAGATATAACTTTGAGAAAAAAAAAGCATCTCATGAGGCAGCAACAATTTATAATAGCTATTTATGAAGCATTAGCAAATAGTTAATTCATTATTCGTTGAGCATTACCTCTACATTAATAGACGTCAGTAAGCAGATTATAAATGCAGATGCAAATGCTGAGTCCTAGACTTAATGATTATGTTTTAATAAGTAATTTTTTATAACTAAATTAAGTATTGCATTATTTACAAACCAGTTATTTAAGAATAGTTGATGCTATTGTAAGATCATTTAGAATGAGTTAATAAATGGTTATTAAACTGTCCAAATTAATATATATGCAGTTTTGTGCAGCACTTTATAATAACTACACACTAAGAATCATTTATGAAGCATTAGCAAATAGTTAATTCATTATTCGTTGAGCATTACCTCTACAATAATAGACGTCAGTAAACAGATTATAAATGCAGATGCAAATGCTGTGTTCTAGACTTAATGATTATGTTTTAATAATTATTGTTTTCATAACTAAATTAAGTATTGCATTATTTACAAACCAGTTATTTAAGAATAGTTGATGCTATTGTAAGATCATTCAGAATGAGTTAATAAATGGTTATTAAACTATTCAAATTAATATATATATATATATATATATATATATATATATATATATATATATATATATATATATATATATATATATATATATTATTTATTATTATTTTTATTATTATTATTATTATTATTTTTATTATTACTATTCAGGCATATAAAAGGTATATTTGTATTTTAATAAATGCTTTATTAACTCAATTTCATGCTGTTTTGTGTAGCACTTTATAATAACTACACACTAAGAATCATTTTTGAAGCATTAGCAAATAGTTTATTCATTATTTGTTAAGCATTACCTCTTTATTGATAGATGTTAGTAAGCATATTATAAATACAGATGCAAATGCTGTGTTATTGACTTAAAAGTACATTTATAATGTGCTTAATAGTTGTATTTTTACACTTTACTTTTTAATTGCTCATTGTTAAATTCAGTATTGCATTATGTGCAAACCATTTGTATTCAAGAGAAGTTGGTGGCTTTTAAAATCATCCAGAATGAGTTAGTAAACATTTAATATTTTATTATTCAGGCATATAGTAATACTTACTATGTGTGTTAATAAATGCTTTACTAACTCAACTTCATGCAGTTTTGTGACCTAATCTAAAGTGAGGACTGTTTCTGCTTCATAAATCCCAACATAAAAACAAAATAAAAACATTCTCATTTGAAGATACACAAATTAAACAGTATCAAATGAAAAAAATAAATCTTTGCAATCTTAACTAAAATAAAATTACAGGACAGTTTGAACATCGCTTAATAACTTTAAAATGTTGTATCTAATATGTTTTAAATATTATATTATTATTTTATCCAATTTTATATAAATGTACTTATTTTTTTATTGTATTTTTAGAAATTCAATATTTATAGAATAGTAAGCCCTTAATTGTCATTTATAAGGGATTTTTAAAGCATTAGGTCACCAAACTGCATGGAGTTAATAAAGCATTTATAAACATATAGTCACCATTATTATATGCCTGAATAATAAAATATATAATTGTTTTACTTACACGTTCTGAATGATCTTAAAATCCACCAACTACTCTTAAATATAATTGGTTTGCAAATGATGCAATACTGAATTTATCAGTGAGCAATTAATGAGTAATAAAGTATGAACAACATACAACTATTAAGCACATTATAAAAAACATTTGTAGCTGGATTTATAAACTGCTTATTAACTTCTATTATTATTAAGTTCATGCTTAACAGATAATGAATAAACTATTTGCTATGCTTAATAGATGATTCATAGTGTGTAGCTATTATCAAGTGCTACACATAAGGCTGCTGTGAGAAAATATATTTTAAAAATAAAATCATTTCCATTACAATAACAATTTACAGAAAGAAATTTTTCCTATGCAGATTTCTTAGACTCCCTCACACAGCGTTCTTATTTTCCAAAGTCAAACTTATAGGGATAATTCACCCAAAAATGAAAATTTACTCAACATTTACTCTCCCTCAAGTGATTCCAAACATTTAATTGTTTCTTTCTTCTGTTAAACACTAAAGGAGATATTTTGAAGAAAGCTGAAAACCTGTAACCATCGACAAAAAACATAATATTGAAGACAATGGTTTCCTGCTTATTTAAAAATATCTTCTTTTGTGTTTAACAGAATAAAGAAACTACAAACAAGCTTGGAACAAGTAAAGAATGTGTAAAATATAGTTCTGAGTAAACTGTATCTTTTAGCACCTTTCAAAAACTTTCAAGGAACATTTTCAAACTTTTCCAGCACTTTACAAGATGCTTTTCAGATGCTAGTTGTAATAGTATTCAACATTCTTTTTTTTTTTCTTTTTTTGATGACGTTTGGCTCCAAGCTCAACATTGATGAAATGTCATGTTTATTGTGATTAAATGTCATTACACACATTTTAAACATGTCCACTTTCATGTTAAACTAATATTCATTTTTATTTGAATGCATGTTTCTTTCAATGTACCTATTTCAATGGTTAATCAATGCCTATTTAAAGCAATTATAATAAATGCATGAACCCTACTCACACATTTGTCAGTGAAATGGTTGTTTTATTAAGTCTTTTAAAATAGTTCACACCTGGAAATGGGTGAAGATGGTGTGATCTGCCAAGACTAAAGAAGCTCTTTTGCTCTGCAGTAAGGCAGCACAGTAATGATAGGTATAAGGCCAGGAAGAGTTCAATTAACCAGAGATTCAGATGAGCTTAAACAGAAGGCCACTGGAAAAAAAATACACTGACCTCAGATTAGAAGGTTTTATGTACTCATAAAATAATCAAATGTACGTAGTTGTAGCTGTAAAGTTCCTTAATTGGGTGTTTCTTTTAAAGAAAATACAAATTCATAACAAATTTTTAACCATAACCTCATGTCATTCCAAAATTGTGTTACTTTCTTCCATAGATTAAAAAGAAGTATTTTGAAGAATCTTGATGCTACCATGGGAAACCATGACTCTGATACACAGCCCATCTGTAAATTTATTTTATCAATTATTTCTCAAGTAGAGAGAATTTTTGTTGTTGTTGTTACAGAAATATGATTTTCAAATTTTATTTGATTTTTAAATATAATAGTTTTGATATTTCCAATTACAATTTTAATTTGACTTTGCCACGATGATAGTATACATACTATTTTATTAGTTACTTTGCAAAACAATAGTATTCAGCTTAATTTTAAATGCTTAACTAGTTTAATTAGAGTAACCAAGCAAATCATTGACCAGGATAGCTCTGTAGATATTTGGGTGGATCAATGAAAACACTTTCATAATAATCACACGTAATTTTGATGGTCCATTTGAGTATTAGTAGACTGTCTGCTTAATATTTGTTGATATTGCTCCTTCAACAAACATTTAACTGACTATAAGAAACTTTGCAATATCATGTCATTGCATGTCAACTTACACTAACCCTAGCCCCAACCTTAAACCTAACAGTCTACTTACTATCTAATGAGAATTAGTTGGGGCATGCAGATGCAATGTAACTTAAATTCAACACACAGACCATCAAGATAAAGTGTGACGTGAAAAAATAGTAAACTGTGTGAACAGTGTCTTGGTTTTTACAGTGACATCTTGTGAAATTTCACTGCCTTTGGATTATTGCAGGAAATAAACTTTGTGAATTAAAAATTGTTTACATGTTTTGTTACAGGTTACTTTATTTGTTACATTTACAGTTTTGATTGTCATCATTTTAGAGGCTAAACAAAACAGCAGTAACAACCATTAGGCTTCCATCAACTCATTCAATTCTATTTAGAATCTTTTTTTAAAAAGTTTGAAAGTGGAAATAGTTTGCAGAAATACAACAACAACAAGACTGTAAAAGTGGAATAGTGTGTACAAGGGTTTAAAAACATCGATTCAAATATATTAACTAATTAAAAATGGTCAAATAGTCAAGAGTGAAAAAATATCTTAAAAATATGTAAATATTTTGAGCTTTATCAGGCATTTAACTATTTAACCCTTTCAAAAAGCCCACTGACTTCTGGGTGACTGAACTTGACTCCAGGTTTCATTAATAATTTTTATAAAACTGCATAAATTGATGTTGTAAGAAAGCAATTCTTCAAAAACAAGTTACTTTTATGACACCGGGAATGCAAAGTCATGCGGGTTTGGAATGGCATGAAGGGTGAGAATTACTCTTGTTAACTTTTTACATAAAGATGTTGAATGGAAGTTCACTTCAGGTCCTTAAATGATTCTGTTTTTTAATGACGGTTTTTTTTTTATAGGAAATGGTGCCACCTGCAGTAAATCGACCAAATGTAGTGTAAGTAGCATAAAGTCCTCCGTTGAGACATGATGTGATTTCTTCCTCTTCCTTTCAGCTTTTAAAGATTTGAACGCGTCAGCCAAGGAAACTCCTAGAAGATAAAAAAACAAAGCAGAATAGATTTAAACTCAGAATACATCTTGCAGTTCTGATCTTTTTTCCATCAGTTCTGGTTTAAATAATGCCATCCTATCCTAACAACCTTTTACAACTGACTTACTGACTACACATTTGGGTAGTTTGAAAAACAAAAATTTTTATATTTATTGTAGTATTGCGAAAATTTAAGGCTCACTAAATGTATTGTCTTATTATTATAAAAAAAAAAAATATATATATATATATATATATATATATATATATATATATATATATATATATATATATATATATATATATATATATATATATATATATTTTTTTTTTTTTTATTATTATTATTTTTTTTTCCCATTTCAATGAACATCAGGTCAGGACAAGTGTGCTTCCTGAACATTAAACTAACATTAAATACCAAAAACATACATGAGTGCTGGCATAATCTTGATATTGTAGCACTCATATTTACTTTCAAAATCATAAACAATAACATAGTAACATTTTTACTTAAATGTTGAGGTTCTTTTAATATAGATTGCACCTTGTCAATAACAAACTTTATCTTTATCTCCCTCATCACTTCACATATTGTGCAAATATGAAAAATTTCCATCTGCTATATGCTCCAGAACTTCAAGATCTGTATATTCTGCATATAAAATTGTTTCAGCAATAAATTAGTACATAGATCTAGTTTTTTATATAAAAAGTTAATTACTAGAGATTTAATTAGAGTAACATTCAGAGTTTGAACCCATTGAACATCAAAATAGACAGACATATTTGAAAAAAATCCTGATCTAAAGCTGATCCTGATCAAATACTGATCTAAATCCTGATCAAAGTTACAAAAGATTTTTAGGCTTGGCCAGGTTCCAAAGTGTTTTAAACATGCTATTATTCAGCCACTCTTGAAAAATAGTCTTGATCCTGCTTCACTTAACAACTACAGGTCTATCTATATCTAAATTGCGTTTCATTTTAAAAGTTTTAGAAAGAATTGTCGCCATGCAGCTGAATACTGTTTTAGAGGCTCATAATATCTTTGATAAATTTTAGTCTGGTTTCCGTAAGCATCACTCCACAGAAACTGCCCTTCTCAGGGTCTCAAATGGTATTTTAATGGCTGCCGATGCAGTAAAATGTTTTCTGCTGGTTTTGCTGGATCTTAGTACAACTTTTGATACTGTCGATTACAGCACTTTAATTAAGAGGCTGCATTCGCTTGTGGGCATTACTGGGTCAGCACTGAGTTGGTTAACCTCCAATCTTGCTGACAGGAGTTTTTCTGTGTCCATAGAACCTCATATGTCAGACTCCGTTCCTTTGTCCTGTGGTGTGCCTCAAGGTTCTGTCTTAGGCCCTCTTCTTTTTAATTTATATATGCTCCCTCTCAGTAAGATTATTAGTAGTTTTAAAGGTATATCTTACCACTACTGTGCAAATGATGTACAATTATATTGTTCTTTTAGCCCTGACAGGCTAGACAAACTGTCTCTCTTGCAGGATTATTTACTCTCCATTAACAAATGGATGGCAGACAATTTTCTGCAACTGCACCCTGATAAAACAGAAATGTTAATTTTTGCTCCAGATAGAATCAACCTAATGATGAGGCAAGTTTTTGGAGGTTTGTAATTTTCAATTTGCAGTGATATTAGAAATCTTGGTGTCATTTTTGATTGAGCTCTGTGTTTTAATAGCCATGTTAAATCTGTTGTTTGTACATGCTTTTTAAACCCAAGGAACTTCGCAAAAATCAGAGATATTGTGTCAAAGGAATAAATGGAGATACTTGTCCATGCCTTCATTTCTTCACGATTGGATTATTGTAATGTTCTGTTCACTTGCCTGAACAAATCCTCTATGGAGCGTTTGCAAGTTGTGCAGAATGCAGCAGCAAGGCTTTACACTACAGGAGGTCACACATTACACTCCTGTGCTTAAGGCACTTTACTGGCTTCCTTTAAGTTTAGAGTACATTTTAAGATTCTGGTCATTACATATAGAGCTCTGATTGGTCAAGCACCCCCATATATTCAAGATCTTTTACGCAGTCACTCATGTAGCCGGACTCAGAGGTATCTGGCAAAGACCTGTTAGCCATTCCTAGAACTCGTCTTAAGACTAAAGCTGACCGTGCCTTCTGTGTGGTGGCCTCAAGGCTCTGGAACTCTCTCCCGGTAGCACTGAGAACTCTGGGATCAGTTAAACTTTTTAAAAAGCATTTAAAGACACGCCTTTTGGTCAAGCTTTTAATTCACAGTATTAGTGTTTCTGTATTTGGATTTTGAATTAGTTTTAATATGTTTTAACATGTTTTCTTTTATTTTCAAGTGTTCTTTTAGTTGTTTTCTCTAATTGTAAAGCACTTTGTGACTTAATGTCTGGGAAAGGTGCTATATAAATAAACCTTTACTTGGTAAAACTTTACTAAGTAAAATCCATACAATCTATGAAATAACTGCAAACATATCAATAAATCTGAATAAAAAAAAATGTGAATGTGGCATAAACCTGTGTCTGGAGTTAAGTGATGCCATGCTGCTTTTCAGTGTATTGGATTTTTTTTTTTTCAAATTACAACATGCCGAGCCTTACTGAACTCACACGATTTCAATTTACTATAATATTCTAAGTGAAGCTGCTTTGACACTGTCTACATTGTAAAAGCGCAACAGAAATGAAGGCGAATTGAATTAAATTGAATTACAGATATTTGATTGGATGAAAATCGTCCACTCGCATGGACTGCAGGCTTTAAATTAGATGAAAGCCTCAGGAACCACAAAAAACATGAGTTGACAGGTCATGTCTATTGTAATCACACAGGGTCCAAGAGGATTAAAAATATCTTCTTTTTTGTTCAACAGATAAAAGAAGTTCAAAAAAATTTGGAAATCTTCAAGGGTAAGTAAATAGTGAGTTAATTTAGATTTTTGGGCGAACTCTCCCTTTAAAGAGATTATCCGTTTCTTTTTCAAACTTGAATAAACTCAACTGAAGTGGACCCCGTTTACTTGTGAATGCTTGTGTAACACTAGAAAGTTTCCATTCATTGCTGGGGAAGCCCTTTGACTGACAGAGAGATTCTGTGCTCCAGCTTGCCGTGACAACCAATCCTTCAATACATCTGCGTGAGGTTGCCAAGAAACACCCAGCACAACAAAAAGAGGGCACAACCTTCATTAATGGGGTCTCATAACTGTCAGGAATAGAAAGGTCAGTTATGTTTAAGGTGTGTGTATGTGAGGGGGGTGGGGGGTTTAAACTAGCGTGAGGATGTTAGCAATGAAACCTATAGTTAGACGCAGATTCCAATCAAGCATGTCAGAAACTCCATAGCACTCTATTTTTAATAATTATGTCTATCATTAGAATTACTTTATCAAATAACACACATTCCATGGAGAGCAATCATTCATTTTCTGTTCGGCATTTTCTGTTCGGCATAGTCCCTTTATTAATCAGTGGTCACCACAGTGGAATGAATCGCCAACTTATTTAGCATATGCTTAACACAGCCCTTCCGGCTACAACCGATCACTGGGAAACACCCATACACTCTCAATCACACACATACACCACGAACAATTTGGCTTACCTAATTCATGTTAAGTACATGTCTGGACTTTTGAGGGAAACCGGGGCCCCCAGAGGAAACCCACGCAACATGAGGAGAACATGCCAACTTCACACAAAAATGCCAACTGACCCAGCCGAGGCTCAAACCCCCGACCTTCTTGCTTTTTTACTTATTTATTTTTTTTACATTTTAGCCAATCGTGTAGCTTTTTGTGGAGTTTTTTTGAGTTGAGTTAACTGTTACCCAATTACTGCACTTGACATAAAAGTTGAGTCAACTCAAAAAGCTCTGCAGAAAGAAAGTTTTGGTCTTGTTTGTTCTATGTGCTTGCTGCAGATAAAGTTCAGAGAAGATGCTACTAGTTACAAGTGAGGGTTTTAATGAGGACTACAACAACATTGAATAAGATTAAAAGGACTTGTTTTCAAAGCTGTAATGGCCCATTCACAAGGTGCGTTGGCTTCAAGGCTTCACTTTGAATGGGTGATGTCAAGTGTTGCCGAACTGAATTGTGGGTCTATTGGTGCCACTTCAGGGGTGCTGTTCGAGCAGAAATTGGGACTTTCTCAACTTTTAAAGCTCCAACGATAGCGTCAGCCAATAAGATCACTGTTTGTAAATACACCAGCTAAGACAGTAGCCGATTGCTGACTAATTTCATTGGCTGACACTGCTACGACAATCGCATCAGCCCCAACCTCAGACACACCCTGTCAAGTGTTGACACTGAAGCCCCGTGTAAATCAGGTGTAAACCCCACAGCTCCACTGACAGCACAAAATAACACCAATAACAGGCTGGCTGGAATGTGTATTAAAAAAAAAATAATAAAAAAAAAAGTCAATATCATATTGACAAGTCAAAATGGCTTGTTCCAAAGAGCCAACCCCGCAACCATACGGGACTAAGGCCAAAGAAGAAGAATCACATTAAAAGAATTGCTGCCATGCAATGGAATTTGTTTTATTATTATTATTGTTATTATTATTAATAAAATAACATGACATTTGCCATTGAATACTAGTAAACAAGTCTTTCAATTTGATGTTATAAAATCAACATTATAATGGTACAGGAATTATCTTTGTAAAATGTATCTTATTATACAGTCAAACCTGATCTTGGGCTTATGTGTGTTTGTTTGATTGGATTTGTTCTCCATCTTAGTTATTAGTTTAATTATAGACTAACTTAGTAGTTTTCAACTGGTTTGGCCATGGACCCACATAATTCCAGTCATCAGGGTATGTTTTCCCATTTATATATATATATATATATATATATATATATATATATATATATATATATATAGCTCAGTGAAATGTTTTTTGATCAGTTATATATAACCTGTTCATCAATTGGTTTTAGTTGTTTAACTGATTTATACAACAGTTCGAAGACATAATTATGTATATAAAAATGAAAATCTAACACAGAAAATCTCAAAAAACCTTCTGTATGAGGAACTACTTTCTTCTGCCATTCACTCACATCTACAGCTGGTCAGATTAGCGGAAACTCTTGCTAATTCACCAACGTCACTTTAGATTTGGTATTTGAATGATTCTCTAGTATCTCTAGCATCCAAAGTGATGACAAAACATTAGATTTTGCTCATATTTTAGGATTATAAGTCTGAACGGCATGAAATGCCATCAGTCTACAGAAATTTCCCAGCATTTCTCTATTCAAATCAGGAGATCACAATAATTAACCCTAAAAAAACCAAAGCAAAGCAAACACTACTAGATTACTATGGCATAAATACATTTACATTATACTATAACAGACATAACTTTAATATACGTCCATGTATTTGCATTACCTGTTGTTTGCGGTCTGAAGTTGGGTCAATAAGTACATTGAGAAGGCTGGGCATCTGTGTGTTCTTCAGACTGTCTTGTAGTGCGGTGCGCAGTTCCTCCACTGTACGAACCAGATACCCATGACCACCAAATGCGCTCATTACCTGCTCGTACCGAGCCTCAGGCAATAGGGTCACCGGAGGAGCTCTAAAACATACATACACATCAGTCTTTGTTAGTACATTTCACAAGGCAAAAAAAGTGACTTCAAAAATGTTTTTGTAAAACAGTTCCGTTGTGTTAAACATGCATTATATACTTACAGTATATTTTCTTGTCTGCTTGTGTAATGTACTATATTTGATATATGTAAACATATAGCCACACTTTACTACAAGGTGTCAATGGTTAACGTTAATGTATTTACTAACATGAACAATAATTCAATTTTAAATATAATTACTATATACAATACTTGCATATAAATTTTATCTATTTTTTTTCCATATATTGCATTACATTTTTATTCTTACAATGATAATATGAATTAATCATGTTAAATTTATTTTATCATAGTGAGGTAAAAGTTTATTTTGCCACACGGTCCCTATGAAGTTTGCTTTATAGCTTTTTATAGAAAGGTGTTTTTGGGATCTCTATTTTAGAATGACCCTAGAACTTTCCTTTTAGGCCCTGGACTCACATGGTGGTCATGTCTCCCATCTTTTCCATTGCTTTCCATGTCTCTGGATCCACTCCACTGTAAATGCCATTGTTATTAATTACAATGATGATGATGGGCAGTTTATACCTATTCAGAATTAGAAAATAAGGAATTACTACTCAAAACAATTGACCAGTAGATGGAGCTCTATGTCTTACGTTAAGATAAGAGCACTTAAAGATCTCCCATTCACCTGCACATGGTCTCTGCCTCCATGCCGGAGAAGCCGAAAGCACTGTCTCCTTCCACACACACCACTTTTTGGCCGACTCTCTGCGCTTGCTCCAGAACTGCTGCTGCGATGGCAAAGCCTGGACCTACCCCCATAGTGCCAAAAGTACCAGCATCTAACCTGTAAAAGACATTAAAGGAATAGTTTACCTAAAATAAAAAGGTACTCGTTATTTACTGTCCCTTAGTAGTTTCAAACCTATGGGCCCTATCATACACCCGGCGCAGTGTGGCGCAAGGCGTGACGCAGTAGTCTTTTGGTAGTTTAAGCTTGGCGCAACAGTCGTTTAGAGGCGTTACGCTACGCTGTTTAAATAGCAAATGCATTAGCGCTCATATGTACGCCCATAAGCATTCTGGTCTAAAAAGGAAGGCGTTCTGAGGCGGACCACTGGCACGTCGCTATTTTGAGAAACTAAACTAGATTTTTCATTAGACCAAAACTAACCCGGTCTAAACTCCGGCGCGGAGTTGCGCCTCGCTCACGCACTGCTTAATACGCACAAGAGAGCAATAGGCAAATATCTTTACATATGAAAAAAATTAAATATTAAAGATATATATAGGATATAATAAGAATAGATATAGAATATAAATATAAAGGATTAAAATATTACAAAACATATTATTTTCTAGACTACATAAATATGAAAAACCACTGCTTTTATGTCTTCTTCATCTCGGGAGGCTTTTTCAGTTCATTCATAAAAATTTGCTTTTGTATAATGTTATTATTATTAGCAGTATTATTTATTATATCCATATGTATATTTGTTTTATTAAAAACAAGCTTAGATTTGCCCACCTGTCAGGTTTTAGACCATATGGGGCACAGCATGTGTTTTAGGATATAACTCAGGTTTTTGAGCACATTTTGCTATTATTATTCATTTATTCGTTTGCTGGAAATTAGAACTGAATTTAGAAATAGTTTTGAAACGAATATTTGCTCTTAACAAACAAAAGTATTTATTTATAGACTAATTGATGTCTGTGCATAAAGGTTTCCCTATCCAAGAGCGAAAGTGAAAGTAGATCCATTATCTCTCATTCTCACGCAGTTAAAAGTTATTCTTTCTGTTAAAAAACTGTTAACTGTTTGCTTGTGAAATGTTCATTTTTTCCACTTAGACTTACTTTGCGTCCTGTAAATAGCGAATGCGCTCTTGGCACGGCGCAGCTGACTCTTAAAGGGAATGGGAGATGAGACTCTAATTGGTTTATTCTTAAAACACACCTATAACTCATTAAGAAAATAAACTCAACCCTTTTAGACCATGCGCCGAAGCGCAAGGCAGATTTCCCATCCTTAAATTAGCAAAAACACGTCCTGACACGCCCTGAAAGCATTTGCGCCCTACATTTTGCGTTTTGCGCATGGACCGTCAAAATAGATTCCTATGTGTTTCTTTCTTCAGTTGAAAAGAACAACTATGAATATTGTATAAGGCTGAAAGCCTGTAACCAAGGACTTCTATAGGGAAAGTCCTTGATAGAAGAGAATAGTTTCCAGTTTTGAATTGACACTGTTTCTATTCACTATGATCTTTTATGTGAAGCTGCTTTGACACAATCTACATTGTAAAAACGCTATACAAATAAGGATGCATTGAATAGAAATTTTATCCAAAATATTGCAAAAAAATAAAAAATAAAAATAAAAAAATAACGTAATTAGAAATACTCGCATCCAATATCTTGTTTGTCATGGGGGACATGTATGAAATGTTTCTGAATGAAATTGAAAGTGCCAAAGTCGACTGCTAAAGTGGATTATATGAAACTCTGGAGGAAATGTGAAGAGCGCGGTGGCATAATGAAGTTAACCGTACTTTGCGCTGTAACATGTAAAACGGATCATAAAAGGAACATTCAAAAAGCAACTTGTGTAAGGAGCTTAATTAAATTATTGTCTTATTCAGATTAAGGTAAATCATTTGATTACTGATGTCTATTCAAATATAGCTAGTTCTGCTACAACCCTGATCAAACACAGCTGATCCAAAAATCATGACTCTTGAACATCTTGCTTAGTTGGATCAGCTGTGTTTGATAGGGCAGGAGCAAAACTGTGCAGAGCTGTGGCTCTCCTAGAACTAAGTTTGAGATCATTGTCATGAAGGTTTGAAATTAGTAAAAGGTGAGTAAATGACGACAGAATTTTCGTTATTTTTGGGTGAATTATTCTTTTTAAGACTAATAAACACTCAATTAAGGGCATACTCACACTATGCTATCCGAACCATGCCCAGGCTCGTTTCCCGGATCGTTTGAGAAGTGTGAGTGCTCTGAATCAGGCTCAGGCGCGGTTCACTCGGCTGGCCCTGGCCTGGTTGGAAGAGGTGTGCCAGAGCGTGGTTCACTTGGGCTTTGGAGCGGTACACTTGTGTGTAAATGCAAAACATACCTGAGCCCGAAACTGAAAGCAAGACGTGACTTTTAAGCAAAAGCTCCATTTGGAATATCTAATCATTCTTACTGTTCAATGAATGCAAACTGTCGTAGTTTATTAAAGAAGCAAACCCCTCACTGCACGAAAGCTGCGCACCTTTAGCAAACCTTCTAATTCCTGCAGCACGAGTACTTTATGATTGTTTATGAGCGTCAAAAGTGGCTGATCTGTTCGGTGAAATATTTGACTGCAGGTCACTGCATCTCAAACGATATAACTAAAGAAATCTGCATTCTTAAAATACTATCCAATATATTCATTTTTAAATTAATCTACAAAAGCACAATCCAAATTTTTTTTGTATTCAGCACAAAGTGTGCTACAATAATATGTGAGAAATATGGATGTACATATTTGCTTTTTTTTTTTTTAAATAAATATTATGCTTGGTTAGTAGAGTTTGGAGAAAACAATTTAGCTGAATAAAGGTCCAAAAAACACACTGAATGGGCCTAAACGAGACTTTAAAGTAAGAAGGCTAGAATATTTACTTCACAATTATGTGAAAATTATTCTGTTCTCTCATTCAAAGAAAACGTTACAATGATTTACATTTTGTAAAGTCTGTTTTGGGTCAGCATATTGTATGCGTGGGTGTGACAATGATCATGAATAATTCACATCTGAAGAGCAAAAGACACTCCACCAATTGCCAATGTTCACGCATCAAAGGCATTGTGAAGTAAACAAAATGTTTGCTGTATTATGACCATGTAAACACTACGGGTTAACAATATATGTGCATTTATACAGCATTTACAAAAAATATATATTTGAAATAGTATAAAACGTGTTTGCAAAACTGTTTTATATATATATATATATATATATATATATAGGCACAATTTTATATATAAATATAGGCACAATTGCTTTCTTGTACCCACAACATTAAAAACATAGCCCCATCTCTTTCACTAGCCACAAACCATAGCTAAATATAAATATCAGTTTTCATCACAATCAGGATCTTTTCTACTCCTTTGATTGTGCATGTTTCAAAATATTTAACTTATGAAGAAGGATTCATAGTACCAAATAACTAGTTTTCAGTTCTTCGTATGAAAAGAGTATAATGTATTTGTAAGCTGCCAATAGTGTCTCTCACCTGTGCCGAGGGAGGTGATTGAGCAACATGGTGCGGCCGATGTCCATAGTGTTTGCTCCCTCACTCACTATGATGCAGTCTTTAGGAAGGAGCTCCGAAATGTGGTGAAATGCAGTGTAGTAGTTCATAGGCAGAGTCGTCTGCAAAGAAAGAGCCTGGGAAACAAACAGTTTACTTAACAACATAAATGTGAGTGTACCTGTATATTCAAAAAGAATGTATTTGTTTATTAAATAAAAATACATAAAGCTCACCTTTGTTATCTGAGCATTGGCAGTAATTTTCTCCCTTAGTGTCGCCCACCACTGTGAATCAGATGGAAATCTCCAAGACTCTGATCTTACAGTCTCCAACAGCTTTAAATAATGTAGAAAAGAAGATTTAATAGGTTATTTCATGAAAAAAAAATTGACTTTCAGCTATTCATATATTTTAACATACAATTGCCGTTATATACATAACCAAATGATTTGGAGTTCTGCAAAATTGTAAAGGAAATATTTATTTTTATACAAAAAGAAGATAATTCTAATACAAACAATACACAAAGTATTCAGACCCCCTTAAAGTTTTCAATCGCTAAAATGATTTATTTATTATAAGTTATTTTTTTCCTCAATGTACACACAACACTCCACATTGACAGAAAACACAGAATTGTTGACATTTTTGCAGATCTATTAAAAAAGAAAAAATGAAATATGGCATGGTTCCAAGTATTCAGACCATTTGCTGTGACACTCGTATATTTAACTCAGGTACTTTCCATTTCTTCTGATCATCCTTGAGATGGTTCTACACCTTCATATTAGTCCAGCTATGTTTATATGTCTGATTTCATGGCAATTAATGGTAAAATCTTAGAAAAGATCATTATTATGAAATAATTATGAAAACATCAACCTGCAGTCTTGACACGATCCCCACATCATTCTTTAAAACAGTTTTTACCTGTGTAGAATTGGATCTTCTAAAAGTGGTAAATGCTTGACTTCTCTCAGGGATTTTTCCAAACTCACTTAAAACTGCAGTTGATAAACCCCTCTTGAAGAAGAGCAACCAGGATAACACCCTATTGAGCAATTACAGGCCAATCTCAAATCTCCCTTTCATTGGCAAAATCATTGAAAAAGTTGTTTTCAACCCGGTTAACAAGTTGTTAAACTTCAAGGGGTGTTTAGACAATTTGCAATCTGGTTTCAGAGCACATCACAGTACAGAGAGCGCTCTTATACAGACAATCAATGATATCCGCCTAAATACAGATTCAGGTAAAATAACAGTGTTGGTATTGTTGGATCTCAGTGCTGCATTTGACACTGTTGATCACAGCATACTTCTGGATAGGCTGAAAAACTGGGTTGGGCTGTCCGGGGCGGTCCTCAAATGGTTTAGATCTTACCTTGAAGGGAGAGGTTACTATGTCAGGTTACAAATGTCATTCAACTGCACTAGTCAAGACAGTGTTATTACATGAATATGTTGGACTTTAGCGCTGTGTACGGGACAGTAATGAACAAACAAAGAAAACAAAGCACAAAGGCAGAACATTTCATAGGTAAGATTTAGTTTTTTACGTTTTTGTATGTTATGTTTTGTCTCTTATTGCATTCACCATAAGGCAAAGTAGCACCAACTCACACTAAACACTCGGCTTATGCTAGTTTTATTGAATAAAATCAGCAAACAATGCAACAAAAATATGACAACGAGATGCTGCGGTGCCAGAAACTTGTATTATTGTCGTCTAGTGAAGGAGATTCATTCACAAACAAATCGCTCCCTCCGTCAGTATGAGAAGTGAAAGCAGGAGAGGGGGTGTTTTTCAGGACATGGATTAGTACATTGGGTGGATAGTACATTTCCATACACACAAACACAAGCTTTTTGCCAGGAATGCATGTGCGATTACTTATCCATCAATGTAGAAAAGTGCTGAAAAATTTTAAGTTTCGTAATTTAAAAAAAAAAACCTCCTGGAAAACTCCCAATCATAGATATGTGTACAGTATATGTAATTCTCTGGCTCTGGATGGCCACAGTCCTCCACTGCAGCTTGCTCCCGCGTTTATTTCAAAGGAGTGCTACCCTGTACCAAAAAGGTGGTTCTAGTGACGCATTCCTTCTAATAGACAATAACAGGGTAGGCAACATCTGTATACATCTATGGTCGGTGTCACTGACGCCCACCTCTCAAAAAAAATAACTGCACGTCGCAACGACACGTAGTGCAAGCTCTGTGATTGGTCGGCTTGGTAGCACTGACGAGTGTGGGCATGGCCTAGAGCCACTCGAGCCCAATGAAGCGATTGTTTGAAGGAGCTCTAGATGGAAAGTTTTATGTTTACCTTAAGGTTAAAGCTGTTGCACGTTCGCCATTTCCTGCCTCAAAATGAGCCCGTTTGAACCACTTGTACATTAAGGAAGCGTTCAGAAAAAACTAAACACCAGTGAAGAAATTTGACAAAGAGGAACATAAACACCTCACTGTCAACTAGCTATTCGGAAGTGTTATTGCAGAGCAACAGAAACAGTGCCCAGAAGTATGAAAGCACAGCTACGCTCGTTGCATGCACTGTGGGTCACGCTGGTCACTTGACGCAGAAGTATAAACCAGGCTTAAGGGGGTCTGATCAGGAGACCTTGCGGGCCATTCAACTGGCCCACAACGACCAATCCATTTTTCAGGAAACTGTTCATCTAGGAATGCTCGGACCTGACACCCATAATGTGGTGGTGCACCATCTTGCTGGAAAAACTCAGGGAATGTGACAGCTTCAGTGCATAAAGAGGGAAACACATCATCATGTAGCAATTTCAAATATCCGGTAGCCTTGAGGTTTCCACCGATGAAGAATGGCCCCACTATGTTTGTTGTCTATGGTGTGAAGATACAATATGTGCAACCCCTGAAACTACGGATATTGGAAGCCTGTGCTGTCATTTCTCTTGCGGTGTTGCTATCAGGGTTTGAAAAGTGGGAGAAGAGGGTTGCATTGACAATCCAACACAATGGGCAGCACATTGAACACATTTCAAAAGTGGTCAGAAAGCCAAGATGGCCGACTTCAAAATGGCCAACATGGTCACTACCCATCTTGAAAAGTTTGCCCCCTCACATATACTAATGTGCCAAAAACAGGACATTAATATCACCAACCATTCCCATTTTGTTAAGGTGTATCCATATAAATGGCCCACCCTGTAGTTTTTTTTATTTTTACATAAAAGCTATGTTACATTACAGCACCGATAACTGTAAAATCTAAGGTATTCAAAAGTATTAACGTTTATCAGATTTCAAATTGTTCAACACCCACCGACTCGTTCCAAGCAGGGATCAAACCGAAGATTCCTGTATAGGAGGCAAACTGTCAAGAGGAAGTTTCTATAGGAGTGAGGCTTTTTGTGCTGCATTCGCCTGCTGGCCTTCGTTACACACTATGCCAACAATATGCAGTGGCCTTTTTAAATAAATAGTTGTAAATAATACAGTTTAGTATGGTTCAGAAACTTTTAACTCTAAATTACTATTGTATTTTAGTTGAATTACTGGTGCGTGAGACCGGTGCAATGCTTTGAAACAGCAGAAATGTATGTAACCTACGCCTAATCTCTCACTATATACTTTACTAACTCACAAGAATGTTTAAACCTTTGAATAAAAATTTGAAGTAGTCACGTTGGTATAGGCAAAAATGAAGCTTCAGAAAATCACTAATCACATGATTATGGCATAAACAATCAAGCTCCGGTAAACTGCTTCACTGCGAGATGTATAATTTTTTTTTACATCACTAACCAGAACCATTCCTAAGACTGGCCATCCAGCCAAACTGTGCTATCGGGGGAGAAGAGCCTTGGTGAGAGAGGTAAGAAGAACCCAAAGATCACTGTGGCTGAGCTCCAGAGATGCAGTCAGAAGATGGGAGAAAGTCATAGAAAGTCAACCCTTACTACAGCCCTCCACCTGCTTAAGTGCAGAGTGGCTCAACACATAAAAGCCAGCATAGAGTTTGCCAAATAAAGGACTCCAAGATGGTGAGAAATAAGATTCTCTGGTCTGATGAGACCAACATATATCTTTTTGGCCTTAATTCTAAGTGGTATGTGTGGAGAAAACCAGGCACAGCATCATGCTGTGGGTGTGTTTTTCAGCTGTAGCTACAATCCAGGGGAACATAAATCTAACCAAATAAAGGGGTACTGCGACTATTCTTGAATGGCCCAGCTAGAGCCCTGAATTAAAACCAATTGAGCATCTCTGGAAAGACCAAAAAACGGCTGTCCACTTACTTTTAACATCCAACCTGACAGAACTGGAGAGGATTTGTGAGGAGGAATGGTAGAGGATCCCCAAATCCAGGTGTGAAAAACTTGTTACATCTTTCCCAAAAAGACTCCTGGGTGTATTAGACCAAAAGGGTCTTCTACTACTTCTACTAACTACTGAGCAAAGGGTCTGAATACTAAGGACTATATTAAATATATCAGTTTTTCTTTTTAAAAAAATCTGCAAAAAATGTCAACAAGTCTGTTTTTCTGTCAATTTCGAGTGCTGTATGTACATTAAAGTGTAAAAATGAACTTAAATTATATATACTGTAACAGAGTGAGAAATACAAGGGGATCTGAATACTTTTTGTACTCACTGTATATAAGCCATAATGGAACACGAAACTCTTTTTTTTAATGCTAAAGTTTACAGAAATTTGGTTAAAAGTAACATTGGAACTAAAATTGAAAAAAAAAAAAAAAAACTCAACTGAAACCGGAGTCTTTCTCGGGTCATGTTTTCTCCTGTTCTTACAGTGAGTGTGATATCATAGTATAAATTAAAATACTAGTTCTGAAGTAACATTTTTGAATTAGCAATGGCTTTTGCTGTTTACGTTTAGCTGTAAATGCGATGCCATGGTGGACGAAAGTATAAGTATGCATATGGACTCCATATTTTATGTAAAATGATCAAGGTGACACTGTAGTTTACCTGGCTGGTCACCATCTTTATGTCTCCAAGTAGAGCAGATGCAGCTCTCACGTTATTACTCAACTCTTCAGCACACAGATCCACCTAAAGAACATCGCAATGCACCATGAGTGTGATGGACGAGGTAAACGAACATTACAGAGATGCTGCAGCAACTTCCTCAGTGTTAAGGTTCTAACTAACCTGAATGATCTTTACATTGGCACTGAATCTGGGTGGAAAGCCAAAGTGTAGGATCCAATTAAGTCTGGCACCCAGCAGCACTATAACGTCAGCCTGCAACAGAGCTCTGAGAGAGAGATGTGCATTATGCTGTCACATCAATCAATAAGAGATTTGGCACTAATTACACAAGCGCAAACACACCTGGATCTGGCTGCAGCAACACAGTTGGGATGGTCATCTGGCAGGACTCCTTTCCCCATTGGTGTGGGAAGAAAGGGTATCCCAGTGACCTCCACCAGTTCCCTGACCACCTCCTCTGCCCTGGCATACGCAGCACCTGGAACAGATGTTTGACATTTTTCATTTAGCCGTCAGCTTTAATTGATGCTCACAAAAGCTTCAAAAATGCTCACACATGTTGTTTAAATATTGCTTATAATTATTATTTTGAGGCTAACATTTCTACATCTGCTACAGCTTTAAAGTTAAAACTACTTAACTTCCAAACACTACTCCAGGCACACACTACTCTAGCTCGCAAAATGGCTAGTAACGTTAATGTAGTCCCAGACATCCCAAGTCTCCCGGAAGCTTCGGGAAAGTTCTGGATGACCGCAAATGAATGATAATCTTCTGGAAATCGCTCATCCCCCCCACGGTCCTTAAATACGTTGCACACCTATAATAAGCAGATAATTCCTTCTTTCAGATCCACTGAAATGGCAGGTGACAATCAAATCAAGCAGATCTGTGCTGTCTAAGGAAAAGGTGGACACTCATCTTTCTGAAAACAAAAAAAAAAACTTAAAAATTTATTGAAACTGAGATCCATTTACAAACTAAATTGTTCTTTTCTTTTTAATTGTTTAACTGATACAATATTATATTTATTTTTTTATGAGCGGCTTTTTGGTTTTGAGTATAAACAAGGATTTGCTTTACTTGCTGCTAAGCAGAAACCCCAGAAGAGCTCTAGCACGGTTTAAAGTAAAAAAAAAAAAAAAAAAAAAAGGCTCATACTTTTATGATGTTAGTTTTATTACATAAAAAAAAATTAAATCAGGAAATCCTTTGGCTTTTTGCTATATATATATATATATATATATATATATATATATATATATATATATATATATTAGGGATATAACGGTATCAGAATTTCACGGTATGATAATACCTCGGTATGAATGGCACGGCACGGTATTTATTGAATAATTTACAGGTAAAACAAAACTAATGAAAAGACTCGAAAAAAGTGCCAAAAGTGTTTATTTATCTTAGCACTGAACATATCAATGACATACAAATTAGCCATCTATCTGCAAGTTTAGAAACAGGAACTTCAATTTTTCAATTTTAATAACAAAAAACTATTAAACTTTATTAAAAAAATAAAGTTTCAATTTAGTATTGTTGAAAACTCATCACATTCAACATTTAATCACCCACTTACTTAGATAGAGATGTTTATTTTAAGGAAAATTATCATATAACTATAATCTGGTAAAAGCTGGGATCCCTGGGCATGTCCTCTGCAACAGAAAAAAAAAAACCCTCTCATTTGGGACTGAGGGTTGCTGGGACAGAGAGATATGATTTAGCCAAGGTTGACAGCAGTGGGTAACATTGTGCATTGTCTTTCCACCACTTGAGAGGACAAGCCATGAGTGAGATAGAGGTCTCTTTGTGGTACAAGTCAATGTCTGCATCAATCTAACAAGTGTGTTGTGTTCTGCAGTCCCCATGACTGTTTTTAGTCGTATTCCCCAACTTATATTTCACCACAGTCTGGCTGTGCCTGCATACTGTTTTTTTCTTTGTCTGTCACCTTTTCTCCTTTTTCGTATCTTTTTAGAAAGAAACCGAAATGCTTCCACACATCCGATTTAAAACCCGCTTTAGGTTAGATCATTTCCAGCTCTTTTTCTTCCCCGCTACTAGCAGCACCCTCCATTTCCGCATTACTGGATCTGTAGTGACAACAGACCGCAAAGGATGATGGCCACGCCTAGGCTTATGGGAATTGTAGTTCCCGCTACCTTCCGTTCACTTCATTTGCCTAAGCAAACTTTTCTCAGAAATATAGTTTTATTGAATCATGCGCCTACGGTAATATTGAAAAAAATTACTATTGCGGTATGACGGTATTTACAATATTGTTACATCCCTAATATATATATATATATATATATATATAAATAGATTCCACAATATTGCCTCGTGTACTGTACACTGTCTTATCATGTTTGGGAAAAAGCTTGTCATTTCCTATCAAAAAAGAACAGTCAGAATTTGCCAGGGGTATGACATATATTTTCACTAATGGTCAACATGATTCGACATACCCAGATGAGCCTTTGATTTTAGCTTTACCGGTTATATCTGCAGCTATTTTCTTTCCGCAAGATTACAAATTATTAACATTCATTCATTTTCTTGTTAGCTTAGTCCCTTCATTAATCCAGGGTGGCCACAGCGGAACGAACCGCCAACTTATCCAGCAGGTTTTTACGCAGCGGATGCCCTTCCAGCCGCAACCAATCTCTGGGAAACATCCACACACTCATCCACACACACACACTCATACACTACAGACAATTTAGCCTACCTAATTCACCTGTACCGCATGTCTTTGGACTGTGGGGGAAACTGGAGCACCCGGAGGAAACCCACGCGAATGCAGGGAGAACATGCAAACTCCACACAGAAACACCAACTGAGCAGAGCCGAGGTTCGAACCAGTGACCTTCTTGCTGTGAGGCGACAGCACTACCTACTGCGCCACTGCATCACCTACAGACTATTAGTGTTAGTATATTATTACATTTTGTAAAATGTTTACGTTTGTCACAAGTAATAAAACGATTGTAATAAGCTGGATAATGCACATCAAGTTGTTTTCTCCACTTCCCATTGGGTTGCCGATAAGCCTGTTGGGCTTTATTTTGCAAGAACAAACAGCTAGATGTGTATTATACCTTACATAACACCTAGCAACTACCAAAGAAGACACCAACAATGAGCACCCAGAACACCCTAGTAAATGCACAGCAAAAGCATAATAAGCCTAAATGCACACAGCCTAATGTGCATTTAAGATACCCTTACAACCAAAGCAATCTGTCTGGTTTGAAAAACCTTCAAATTACTTGAAACTGCTTCTAATTCAAAACTTGTATGTTAACTTTTATAATATAAAACTAAAAATCAAAGCCACTCTTTACTTAACACTTAATACTTAAAACTTTAAACTATGAAAACTAATACAAAATAAAAAAAAAACTATCCAAACAGTTTATAAAAAAAGTTTATCCAAAAATCCAAAAAGTTTATAAAACTACTTGCAGCTTAAACTGGCTTCAAATATCAAGCTTTTAAATTGACTTTATCCCTTTAACTTTTAAGCAGCTAAAACAATACAGAACAATTCACTGAAAAATTAATATTATGCTTATTTACTCTACACATGCACGCAAGCACACACACACACAAAGATATTTGAAAGACTCTTGCAAACCAATAGCAAGCCACTGACTTTCATAGTATGTTTTTGTGGATGAACAGTTTCCAATGTTCTTCAAAAAATCTTCTATTTTGTTCAACAGAAACAAGAAAAAAAAAAAAAACAATAAATAAAAATAAATGTAAATTTTAATTAGATTGACACTGGCTATAACTTAGTGTTTGAAACTACTTCAAAATGTAAACGGCTTCTAATTAATCTTTAAAAAATTCTTAAAATGTAATACCATTTCAAACTTCAAGATTTAAAACCTTAAATTGCTTGAAATGGCTTATAAGTCCAATCTTAATCTACACTACCTGACAAAAGTCTTGTCGTCGATGCCAGTTGTAAGAGCAACAAATAATAACTTGACTTCTAGTTGATCATTTGGAAAAGTGGCAGAAGGTAGATTTTTTATTTATTTTTTTGCCATGAATCGTCTGTTGGACTGCATCCCAATCATCACAAATACTGCAGAAGACCTGTTGGAACCCGCATAGACCCAAGATTTTCACAGAAAGCAGTCAAGTTAAGTAAAGGAAAAATCATGGTTTGGGGTTAGATTCAGTATGGGGTGTGCAAAAGATCTGCATAGTAGATGGCAACATCCACAGCCTGAGGTATCAAGACATTTGTGCTGCCCATTACATTACAAACCACAGGAGAGGGCAAATTCTTCAACAAGATAGCACTTCTCATACTGCAACTTCCACATCATAGTTTCTAAGAGCAAAGAAGGTAAAGGTGCTCCAGGATTGGCCAGCCCTGTCACCAGACATGAACATTATTTAGCATGTCTGGGGTAAGATGAAATAGGAGGCATTAAAGATGAATGCAAAGAATTTTGATGAACTCTGGAAGTCCTGCAAGAATGCTTACTTTGCCATTCCAGATGACTTTATTAGTTAGTTATTTGAGTCATTGCAGAGATGTATGGAAGCAGTCCTCATGCTGATGGGAGTCATGCAAAACATTAATTATTTTTCCACTGCACCATGACTTTATATTTTATACTGTACATTATTTCGGCTTAGTGACAAGACTTTTGTCTAAGCAAAGTCAGACCTTACTGAATTAACTAAAATAAAAATCAAGACATGATCATGTTTCATTTTGTTAAAATAAGCCTAATCTAGAGGCTTTTGCCTTTCATATAAACAACTAGAAGTCAAGTTTTTATTTGTTGTTCCTGAAACTTGGAAAGGTGACAGTACTTTTGTTATTTAAGCTTTTAAAAACACTTTAAACTTTGACATTTAGGTTTAGTTTGGACTTCTTCAAATGTAATGTTTTAAACCTAAATTAAAAATGACTTCAACTTTAAACTTTGACATTTATGAAGAAGCCTTTTTTTCCATTTATTATTGTTCAAGAGAGTTTTATAAATAAATTTGAGTTGTGTTGAGTTTAAGCTTTTAACACTGCTTCAAACTTAAAATCTACAAGCGTCATGCATCTTAAAACTAGTTTCTAAAGTTCTGAAGTCGAGTTTCTCAAATCAAAACTGATCTCGTCAAACTTTTCTCTTATTTCATCTAGTTCAGCGGTATCCTGCATACCTTTGCCAATGATGATCAGAGGACTTTGAGATGTTTTGAGTAGCCTGACAGCCTGTGTGATCTCCCTGCAGTCAGCCTGACTCAAAGGAGGAGCGGGACAACAGGAAACAAACCTGGAGAAACAAAAATAAACATCCATAAATGCAATGCAATACTGCACATTTCAGGACGACGGAACACATCATAAGACATGGGTGATTAGAATTGCTATTATTGTGCTTAAGTCTACATATAGCCCACCTGACAGTGGCCCGGTCTATTTTGGCATTAACCATGTCTCCAGCTATGTCAATGTAGCACGCTCCTGGACGGCCATAAATACTGCTCCTTACAGCCTAAAACAGACAAATATCCCAATCATTGCCGAACATAGTAGACTGTATATTTTGCATACACTCAATCCTATTTAAAGATTCAACAAAATGTCTGGAAAAATGAAAAAAACTTTATTACAAGTATGAATTTAATAAATGTTTCAGTCTCATTTAATGTAATTTTTATAACACTTCTATTTTCATTAGTTCAACTCTCATTTTAGTTTCAGGTTGTTTAAAAAATGTACTATTTTTTTATTCATTTAAATAAAATATTTTTATACAATTTATTTATAACTATTAGATTAAATTCAGTAACACTTTATTTGATGGTCCATTCTGTTGATATGGTCCTTCAACAGACATTTAACTGACTATAAGAAACTTTGAAAGTACAGTGCATCCGGAAAGTATTTACAGCGCTTCACCTTTTCCACATTTTTTATGTTACGGCCTTATATTATTAATGGATTAAATTCATTTATTTCCTCAAAATTCTACACACAATACGCCATAATGACAATGTGAAAAAACATTTTCTGAAATTGAAACCTGAAAAATCAGGAAAATGAACAAAAGTATTCACAGCCTTTGAGAGAAGCTCTAAATTGAGCTCAGGTACATTCTGTTTCCACTGACCATACTTGAGATGTTTCAGCAGCTTCATTGGAGTTCATCTGTGGTAAATTCAGTTAATTGTACATGATTTGAAAAGGCATACACCTGTCTATAAGGTCCCAGGGTTGACAGTGCATGTCAAAGCACAAATAGAGCATGAAGACAAAGGAATTGTCTGTAGACCTTTGAGACAGGATAGTCTCGAGGCACAAGGCTGAGAAAGGTTACAGAAAATCTTCTGCTGCTCTGAAAGTTCCAATAAGCACAGTGGCCTCCATCATCCTTAAGTGAAAGATGTTTGGAACCACCAGGACTCTTCCTAGAGCTGGCCGGCCGTCTAAGCTGAGTGATTAGGGGAGAAGAACTTTAGTCAGGGAGGTGTCTAAGCTCCAGCGTTCTTCTGTGGAGAGAGGAGAATCTTACAAAAGGACAACCATCTGTGCAGCAATCCACCAATCCGACTTGTATTTGTCATTGCATTTGGACTATCTGTATTTTGTACTGTCTGGAGCCAGTACCTAAGCTTTTTACTCATCATAGCACATGTAGCACATAGCAAAATTATTAGCCCTTTTAAGCTAATTTTTCTTTCGATAATCTACACAACAAACGACTATTATACAATAACTTGCCTAATTACCCTAACCACCCTAACCTGCCTAGTTAACCTAATTAACCTAGTTAAGTCTTTAAATGTCACTTTAAGCTGTATAGAAGTGTCTTGAAAAATATCAAATAAAATATAGTTTATAATTTAATTTCTAAAGAAAAAATAAATCTGTTATTAGAAATACTTTTTTAAAACTATTATGATTAGAAATGTGCTGAAACAATCTTCCCTCCATTAAACAGAAATTGGAGAAAAAAATAAACGGGCGCTTATAATTCAGGGGGGCTAATAATTCTGACTTCAAGTATATATATATATATATATATATATATATATATATATATATATAGGAAAATGTAAAGTGCTATGAATACTTTCCGGATGCACTGTACATGTCAACTTAACCCTAACCCCAACCTAACAGTCTACTTATAATCTAATGAACATTAGTTGGCACGTTGATGCAATGTAACTTAAATTCAACAAACGGACCATCAAAATAAAGTGTGACCTAAAAATCTGGATTAAGAATTATAAGAATGTTCAACTAATAATTACATTTCTTTTATTTCAGCTTTGTTTTAGTAAATAAATGTTATTTATTTATTTATAAGTTCAAACACTAATTACTTCAAACATATTAGTTTGCTTTTGGGGTAAACATGCTCTAAGGCAGGCATGTCCAAACTCAATCCTGGAGGCCCAGTGTCCTGCAAAGTTTAGTTCCAACCCCAGACAGACACACCAGGGCTAGCTAATCAAGCTATTACTAGGCTTTCTAGAAACTAACTTGCCGCAACACACCTGCAAGGATGAGCAAAATTCTGCAAGACATCGGCCCTCCAGGACGGAGTTTGGACACCCCTGCTCTTAGGGGTTTTAACTAGAGCATGGGTAAACAGCTAAATTTGTATGTCTTCAAAAAAGATGAGTCTGTATTGTATCTAAAAAATTTAATACCTATAATTCCCAACAGCATATCAAACTTTTTACTGTTTGCATCCTAAAAATGTCATTTCATCAAATGACAGACAGATATGACCTGCAAGATGCAAAACAAATTTTTTTGATGTGCCCCAAAATAAAACAGAAATTCAATGTACTTTTTCAACTACAGCCGGGATCATCTCAAGGCTGCTGGGTCGAGCAGAAAACTTGCTATACAAACGACAAGCTTCAACCTGATGAAAAAGAAAACAAGAAAATAGCTTCAGTCGATAAGTGACACTTAACAAAATAAATATAACATGCTGTTTCTTTACTTAAACTTAAACTGAATACAAAGATTTATGAGACAACTCTGAAATTACTCAGAATTATTTTTAAATTGTTGGATAATTGCCAAAGCTATCAATACCATAGGTTATGTTTGTTTTGAGGCAAAGCTAAACATTTGCTAGCAACTGGATAATACCTGAGGGAACTCCTGAAACGCTCCTGTGGTTTCTTGGTTTCTATCGGATGAGCCACCTAGCACAATGACAGGCCTGTACATAAAAAAAAAAAGAGTGAGAGGAGAAAGAAAGAAAGAAAGAAAGAAAGAGAGAGAGAGAGAGAAGAAAATTTCTACAACAAAACAAATAGCCCATTTGAAAGCAGTTCACTTTAGTTTAGGTGAATTCAGCTACCAGCAGTTCACGTTAGCATTAGCCATTCCTCCTAGCGCATGAATCAGGCCAGGCCCAGACACCACTAGACAGACAGCTGGCCTGAAAAACAAATAAATATATTAATAAATACATTTTTGAAGACAAAAACTAAACAAATAAGCAACAAGTTGAAATATTCATACCGTCCAGTCAAATATCCAATGGCAGATGCAGCGTAGCAGGCCTGGTAGAAGAAAAAAGATCCAAACACTAGTAAACACAGATTTAGAGTTTTCTTGTTAAAAAAAAATTATAATTAATTAATTTAAAAAAATAACTTTTTAAATTTTTTTTATAAATAAATAAATGTTAAACTAAGAGTCTTACTGCTTGTTCATTGCGCATGCCAACATACTTGATGCCAGCCGCTTGCGCAGCCATGGCCACCTCAATGATAGGCACACCAACAATGCCAAACATGTACTCCACATTCTGCAGATAGAGTCGAGTCAGTGTTAGTAGACATAAAGAACAGGCAAGCTATAGTATGTTGAATATTAATGTTAATCTTCACAATAATATACAATATATTTTACACCAGGTAAATGAAAGAGTATTAAAAGGTTACAAAAATTGTAAGAAAATATAAGTATATAAAATAAAATAAAAAATAATATGATTGAAAGAAAAATGTTATAAACAACAAATATAACAGAAACTTAATCTTAAGAAACTTAATCTTAAAATATATTGTCATTTTTATAATATATTTCTTTTACAGTATTATGTATTTTATAAACATTTAGACATGAAAATATGCTATAAACTTTTGAAATATATGCAATATGTGGTCTAAAAGACCAAAATTCTCTTATATGGGCTCCATTAATGCATTGCCTTCTTGTAGCAACACAGCAATATACTGTACACTCACCAGACACTTTATTAGGTACACCTGTCCAGCTGTTCATCAACACAAATTTCTAATCAGTTAATCACATGGCTGCAACCCAGTGCATTTAGGCATGTAGAAATGGTCAAGACGACCTGCTGCAGTTCAAACAGAGCATCAGAATGGGGAAGAAATGTGATTTAAGTGCCTTTGAACATGGTTGTTGGTGCCAGATTAGCTGGTCAAAGTATTTCAGAAATTGCTGATCAACTGTGATTTTCACTCACAACCATTTCTAGGGTTTACAGAGGATGGTCAGAAAAAGAGAAAATATCCAGTGAGCTGCAGTTTTGTGGGCGCAAATGCCTTGTTGATGCCAGAGGAGAATGGCCAGACTGGTTGGAAAGGTAACAGTAACTCAAATAACCACTCGTTACAACCGAGGTATGCAGAAGAGCATCTTTAAACACACAACCTTGAGGCGGATAGGCTACAGCAGCAGAAGTGCACATAGGATGCCACTTCTGTCAGATAAGAACAGGAAACTAAGGGTACAATGTGCAGAGGCTCACCAAAATTGGACAATAGAAGATTGAAAAAAACTGGTCTTATGAGTCTTGATTTCTGCTGCAACATTCAGATGGTAGGGTAAGAATTTGGGGTCAACACCATAAAAGCATCCATCCTGCCTTGTATCAATGGTTCAGGCCGTTGGTGGTGTGATATTTTCTTGGCACACTTTGGGCCCATTAGTACCAAGTGAACATTGTCACAACTTTACCTGAGTATTGTTGCAGACTATGTCCATCCCTTTATGACCACGGTGTACCCATCTTCTTATGGCTACTTCCAGCAGGATAACGCACCATGTCATAAAACACAAATCATCTCAGACTGGTTTCTTGAACATGACAATGAGTTCACTGTACTCAAATGGCCTCCACAGTTACAAGAACTCAGTCCAATACAACACCTTTGGAATGTGGTGGAATGGGAGATTCACATCATGAATGTGCAACCAACAAATCTGCGGCAACTGCATGATGCTATCACGACAATATGTACCAAAAAACTAAATACTACCTACATAAACAATCTTGACGCATTATCCATTTTCAGATCAATATATTCAACCGTTCATGAATGAAACATTTACATTTATAGTACATTTAGCAGACGATTTTGTCCAAAGCGACTTACAAGCATTTAGTGATTAAACAAAAATAAATTACATAATATATACTTTTTCTTTCTTTCTGTGCTATCATATGGAATATTTAACAAAGAATTTGTTATATATTTATCCCCATTCCTGTTTTGACACTTGTTTGACAGCTATGGTGCGCATGCGCAACACCTTTAACACACTGTCCGAAGTTCAACAGTACAAGCGAGAGACCTATTTTGTTGCAGACAGTAACAAAAAGTTTTTAATACCTCGCTAGAATACAAAGGTTTTTTGTAAAGATACTCACTTTGCAAAGGCTAGACCAAAGCACAGAAAAGAAACATTGTGAAAGCACTTTTACGAAGAGTAAGCAGACTGACCTGATCTTTCAGCGCCGCAGCGATGAGTTGAGCTCCAGTAACTTCATCCATAACTACTTTTACAACTGATTCATTTCACTCACTAACACAAACATCCAGTGCTCACCGTCCTGCAGCTCTTCTTCTGTGCTTGGTGAGGATTTAAAACTAAAAAACATGCGCATGTCTCCACCTACTGGATGTACTGCTGAAGCATGGCAAGCCGGTTTAACATTTATTCAATAAAACAAAAACTATTTTTCACAAAAGGCAGTGTCTATTAATCCATCAATAAACGAGACGTCATACCAGAAATGTACATTCTCTGTCCCTGAAATAAAAACATAAAAGTGAACAAAAAGTATTTCATCCCAAAAATGTCTAAAATGGACTGCTGGTTGATTTCTGTTAACTGTTCTGTAAATGTCATTCATTTGGTTCACAGATTTTTGTTCTTTATTAAAACACTTTAGAAATACACCCTGTCATTGTCTTTTCCTCAGCACAATCGAACCTACAGCTTTAATAATTTTGTCATGCTGAAAACTGTTATTTAGAAACAAAAAAAAAAACTTCAGAAATGGCAAGTTTAAGTTGATATCATTCACATCAATTAATTTAAAAACATGAAATTATATCTACAAATAAACACTATTTTACAATTGTCCCCATGTTTCTGTCAGTCACATTTGTATTAAATCTGACATCATTTGATGGAGAAGCTGACAGTGATCAAATATGCATTCTATCATTGAATTGTATGATTTTATGATTGTTTTTGTATAATTTTTTTGAGGACAAGCGTAAGTCAGGCCCTGACCGATGACATTTTTTATAAGTGTAAATGTACGTTTCTGGTAAAATGTCTCAAACAATACCCAAATGAATGACAAAAAACAAAACAAAAACAAAAACACCACAACAACACGTTCACAACGTTGATTATTAGGAAGCCATTTCTTTAAATGATACTTAATGAATATTAAAGCTACACATTCTCTAACAGACTGTGATATCAAATTCCACTGATGCGATGCTCTAAAAGAAAAACAAGCTTGACCAAAAGAAGTTTTTTCTAAGTGGAATAATTAGTTGCTTTCTAAAAGTTTCAACTGAATAAAGTGAGATAGACGAAAAGAACCTAACCATGCATAATCTTGTAAACCACACAACCATTTTAAAACTTGATATTTTCCCAACTAAGCAAGCTATGAGTTTTTAAAAAAGTACAATGATGAAAACTAAACCGTTTTTGCATCTAAAATTGTAAGTGCTCATTCATATAATAATTCCAAAGGTTTTAAAATTGTAGATTTTGTCTTAGACAAACTTATCAGACAATAGTTGATATGAGAGAGTAATAGAAACATTTTATTTTAGGAACTTTTGTTGACGTCAAAAATGTATTTATTTCTTGATATAATCATTCCGTAGCTGAATGATTGGAATTTGACAGTTGTGCTGACAACGAGCTGAGTAAATATTAACCAATAGGACTGCAACCAGACTAGACAAATGATTAAAGACAATGCCTGATCATGTAGTTCTACGTACCTCAAAGAACTGAACAAGGAATCCTTTTATTCTGTATTGTTCCCTTGCTGGAATAAATCTGAAAAGATGAAAGAGTTGGAATCTTTTTTGATCCTGACAGAGAGGATCGTAGACTTTAAATACAATTTTTGCAGCCTTATTTGATAAAGAATTTCTAATAAATCCTAGAAATGACTAAATTAAAATTGACTATAGATACCTTTTCTAATGTGTTTTAAAGCTAAGTCCAGATAAACTTAGGTATTTATATTCTGAAACAGCTTGAAATTTCTCTGTGAAGACAACAACATCCTGTTTTGTACCTAGTCCTTTAGAAAAGTACATGCAAGCTTTTTATTCTATTTGATTTCAGGGAACACTGAATCAGAAATGCTATTAAATTTGTTAAACCATTAAGTTATTTATAACCTCTTCAACATATAACGGTCTATTTTCCATACCAGTATGCTGGCATTTTAGTTTGTTTGTTGTTTGTTCAATTACTTAACCCATTAAATAGTAGTATTTATTCATTCGACAATAGTTATTACTACCATTAGATAGTAGCTATTAAATATGTGTAACTATTATGTTGTTATTAATAACGGATTTCAAAACTTTTCCATAAACTTCTTTCAGTTTTTTTTTTTTTTGAGGCATGTTTCCACTTTAAAAATATATATATATATTTTTTTCTACTATTTTTACATATGTGAAGTAGGCCATAACTGTCCATTTTTGAAAATTGAGATTTAGATATCCAAAAAAGCCAAATCTTTCCAGTGATTTGTTAGGAGCTGAAAATCTGGAACTCGTGGGTTCAATATATAAATATTAATAAATAAATCTTGAGAAATTTTGAGAAAGTTGCCTTCAAAGATGAGTTTTTAGCAATGAATATTAATTACTAAGCATAATTTGAGTTTTTATATATTTACTAAACAACTAAACAAAACGCTATTCCCACAAAAATCCCTGTCAAAATTTAAGCTCACATATGGTCTACAGTTAGTAGTTATTCTTTCACAACTAGTGATTATTAGGTAAAAATACTAGTTCTTAATCACAAGATACCAGCGAATATCATGTTACACAGATATTAGTCATTATTCTGTATGTAGCCTATTTAATAGTACTGATACAAACTTATTAGACACTATTACTTGATTCAGAAGTTTTTAGTAACTATTTATTTGGTAGAAGTGAAAAAATGTAATGGTAATCTGTTACTATTCGGATATCAGCAATTCAGTCTAATTGGTGTGGATTTCAGTTGTGACAACATGTTTTTTTAATGTTAATAATTATAATGTTTATTTGTTTTACACTACATTGTAATGCTACATCATTAGACAATCATACTTACTTGTCTTCAGCATATTTCTTTACAAAGCAATAAAGAGATTATGGGCCAATTTAAAGACATTTTCTTACAGTATTACAAACAAGATTTGGCTTTTTTTTTTTTTTGCTTAAAAGTTTCTAAAAAACTTTTTTTTTAAATTTATAAATAATAAGAAGAATAAGATTAAAATAACTAAATAATAAACTAAATATGATTGTAAATTCTTCTAAATAAATAAAATATATCTAAAAAAAAGTAAATAAAATAATGCAACAAAACCGAAATACATTTTTATAACAAAATATTAAAATAATAAACTAAATATGATTGAAAATTGTTTAAAATAACAAAATGTTCAATTTTTTTATTGAGTAATGAAACAGAAACTGCATATTTAAAAAATAACTGTATACATTAATAAATATAATCACTATTAATAATAATTGATTAAAACATTTTCAGAAAATTGAGAAATAAATTTGCCACAGTTTTATAAACAAAATTCCAAACATGATTTGCTTACTAGTTTTTCTAAAACATTTTTAAAATACTGTTTTACTCATGTTGCATTTCTTTATCATGTAAAAGAAAAAAAAAAAAAAAAAAACGTACAGAAAAAATAAACAGGCAGACATTTCAGATTTTAATTTTAATACGCAAAACACCATTACAGATTTCAGCACTTCCTAAACTATCAAGATCTGCAACAAAACCGGATTTACACGTTCGACGTAATGAAATTCAGATAAAATCTTTCCTTAAACATCATTAATGTCATTATGAAGAAAGAGGTTGTACTTGTCATAACCATTGTTTTCCATGTTGCTGTTTTTGTTCTCCTTTAAGTTTGTTTTTCTGGCCATGGCTTGAGCTTCACTCTCTCTACCTTCAAGATATGACTGCAGGATCCGGAAAAACTGCAAAGACATTGGAGAGATGGATGACAATGTTCATTTATAAAGCAGATGATGTTGTTTCAATATTAGTAAATGAATAAATGAAGCTCAACAATACCATGAGAATAAGTACACAGTATGATGTAGAATATGCATGTGTAAAATTGTTGATAATAACTGACCTGTATTTGTGCCTTTTATTTTATTTTTTTTGACCAAATGGAACACTCCAAAAATGACATTTGCACTTTTTTGCACTAATTTGAAATGAGCTGAAACAACTTAAATGCTTTACGTTTAATCCACTTGAAATAGTAAAAACTAATAAGTTAACTTAATTCTTTTATGTTGCTCTAACACAAATATACTTGTGTGGCAACCAGCTTTTTTTCTACAGTGTCTGGGGTTTGCCAACTTTTTACACAGATTTCAGATGAACAAAACTTTTTGTTGTTGGTTTATTTTTTATTGTTACATTTTGATCTCATGTACATTTTACTGCAGTACCATTTATGTTTGAGTCATTTGCATAAGTTGTTTTACTCTGATTATATTTTTGAATAATTTTAGTTGCAGATGTTATAGCACATCACATTACATCAAATGAAAATGAGAAATATTTGCTTACTAACTAACTGGAACAAAATTGAAATACTTTTTAAATACATTTTTTATATACATTTGAGTATTGTGTTTTAAGTTGTATTTAAATACAACAACGCTCTTTACAACAACCCCTCAATGCTTCAATTAAGTAACTAACAAACTAACAATTAAACTAACTAACTAACTAGCATTTAATTTGTAATGGTATTAAATAACTTTTGTTTACAGTACCGTAAAAAAAAAAAAAAAAAAAAAAACAGCGAGTAGGATTAAACCTTTTTGCACCAGTAAATGTTTAAGTACAATAGTTGTGATGATTAATGTTTCAGAACGTAAACTGTTTCTTTTTAATTTTATTCCTTTTCAGTTTTAAATGATGATAATGTGATGACAAGTTTGACTGCATTAAAAAAAAAAAAACAATAGTCCAAGTTTAAATAATATAAGATAATCAAAAAACGTTAGAAGTTTTATGCTGATAATAAACAAGAGAAGAAAAAGCACAAACACTGATTAAATGTACATGTAATTATGTGAGGTGTATGACAGGTATGTGACTGTTATGGGTAAGAAAAGTATGGATTAAAAAACTATATAAGAAATAACAACAATAATATGGAAGTATTGAACATGACCATTCATACTATATATTATGAAACATATAGTATGAATATATAGGTTAGGTTAATTAAGCAAGTCCTTGTATAAAGATGATTTGTTCTGTAGACAATTAAAAAA